CCAGAATTGCTTATCTCATGCATATATATCAGATACTATCAAAATAGTACCGCGCCACCGAGGGCTGTTCAAAAGTCATCCATACATGAATACATGCATGGATAGATGCATTTCGTTTCATTTCATTTCATTTTTTTTTTATTAGTTAATGAAAGTTTTTTGTTAAACACATGACTGAAAATAAATAAATATATATATATATATTTATATATATCTTTTTGATTGTGATAGTAATGATTGATAGTTAAGGTTGTAATAGTAATGGTGGTGGCAATGATGATTCATAAATACTCATTTCAATTATTTAAATATTTAAATATTTATATAAATATATAAATATGGGCTTTAAGTACTATCTAATAATTGTTATATCCAATGGAAAATCATATAAATTTAAAAAAATGGAGGTATACGTAATATCCAGTTGTTGTTGTTGTTGTTGTTAGTTTAAATAAAAAATAAAAAAAATAAAAAAATAAAAAACATCTCGGGGAAAAAATTCCCAATTTAGGAACCAATAGAAACTTTGAATTTTTTTTATTTAAATAAATAAATAAAAAAAAAAAAAAAAAAAAAAAAAGAGGACAAACATTTTAATCTTTAAGGCCTACAAATAATTATTTATTCATTTATATTTATTTAAATATTTGGGTCCTAATAGTCACATTCTTTTAATAATTCCATCTTCAAACAAAAATCAAAAACAACCATAGCAGCTAAACTTAATAAATAAAAATAAAAATAAAAATAAAAATAAAAATAAAAATAAAAATAAAAATAAAAATAAAAATAAAAATAAAAATAAAAATAAAAATAAAAATAAAAATAAAAATAAAAATAAAAATAAAAATAAAAATAAAAATAAAAATAAATTGTTTCGGAAAAACCGCAGTTACTGCTCCTACTGCTCCTACTACTACTACTGCTGCTCCAACTTTTCACAACTTTACTACTACAACTACTATAACTACTACAAATGTACTACTCCTCTTATTCTTATTATTATTCTTCTTCTTCTTCTTCATGGCTTAAAAAACAAAAAATCTATGCCTTTCTTTTGGACTGCAACTCCGCACTGGCGGTTCTATCACGAGCTTTTTTTTTTTTATTTGTATTTATTATTTTATTTTTATTTTCATGTACAAAAAAAAAAAAAAAAAAAAAAAAAAAAAGTCTTGTGATTTTTTTTCTTTTCATTTTCAAAAAAAATTGTTTATTTCTACTTTTATTTCCATTCTTATTTTTAATCTCAACCAACAACAACAAATACAAATTCAAATACAAATACAAAAACAAAAACAAAAACCCTCGCCCAGATAAGTTAAACCAAAAAAAAAAATAAAAACACTAATTGAGTCCTTTTTTTTTTTGGTTTCTCCAGATTTTTTTTTTTTTTACCAGTAAATATATTTCTTCTTTGTTATCAAATTTTAAACAAAATGTCATGATAATATGATCCTACCAGAGTGGATATTTTTTTTTTTTTTGTGTGTGTGTCTTCAATTAAAAAAATCAAATAAAATAAAAAGAGACTTTTTGGACTCTAACATGAAAAATTAAAAATTAAAAATTAAAAATTAAAAAGTCCCATTTAAATCGCTTCTTTACTCTCTTTGTATTGCTACTCGCCAATGTTTTAATCGAGTTTTAAAAAAAAAAAAAAAAAAATCTCCCTTTTTTTTCTTATCCAAGAATCTCGCATTTCCCATAAGGTCCACCCAATAAGACTATAAATATGAAAACATTTATATATATTTATATATATAAAAAAATGGTCTCCCCACCTTCCAAGGCGTGCTTTTAGTTTATAATGTTGGAAGATTTCATAAAATAACAATATATATATACAAAAGTTATTATTAAATAGAATTAAAAAAAAATTCATAATTATAATCCAATTTTTGCTATATGAATAAAGATATTTGAACTTATTAAGAGAATATCAAAATCAAATAAAAAAAATAAAAAAAAAAAGAAGAGAAGCCTATTGATTGATACTTTAAAATTTGTATACATATATATATAACAACACAATCAACACATACAAACCCCTAACCACCTTATACCGAAAAGTTAGGGCTCCGGTACTTTGTGGGGACCTCCAAAACTTTGGAGAGACACGTAGGCAGACCGATGTTCTGAGTCATCCATCATCATCATCATGCAACAAAGTCAATATTTAAAATATTATATAAAAATAAAATAATAATATCAAGTTATTAGCAATGTGAACTACTTATTTCAAGGCGCACTATTACTATTACTATTACTATTACTATTACTATTACTATTACTATTACTACTAAGATTACTACTAATGCTACTACTACTCCACTACTACTCCACTACAAGTCAACTTGCTTTCTTTGTCTCCCCCGGATTATCCCGCACAAGTCTTTATTTTTTTATTTTATTTTATTTCATGGAGAAGTACTAAATTTTTAAGCAATCTAATATGTTAATTAATTAATTAATTGACTTTAAGATATGTATGGTATATGTATAGTATGAATGAAGAAATAAATAAATAAATGAATAAATGAATGAATGAATGATACCTTTATGGTCGTACCTAAATGTTTTCACATCTTAAAGTTGTTGTTCATATTTATCACCATATTTATCACCATATCCATCATAAATACAATAAAATTAAATAAAATAAATAAAAAAGGCTTTGTGACGGAATTTCTTCTTCTTCTATTTCTTCTTTTTCTTCTTTCTTCTAAATGTCTCCCTCCTTCCTAAAAATAGATGTCAACTTTCATCTAAATAGAAAGATCTATATAATAACCACTAAATAAATAAATATATATATAACTGTCCATCTACCTATCTAAACAATTACTTTTGTTGTGTTTATAAAAAAAAATTCCCTAGAAATTGCTTGGCTTGTATTTCTTAGATTAGTAACTAATTTTGATCGAAGTTATTTCTTTTTTTTATATTTTTTTTAAAAAAAGAAGTCAAGTTATATGTTAAGAAGAAGGAAAAAAAAAAAAAGGGTTAAAATAGGAGTTTTTGCTAAAAAAAAAAAATTCAAACCCGGGGGAGATTTTAAAAATAAAATAAAATGATTTTTGCTAAAACTTATTATTGTTATTATTATTATTATTATATGGCTTAGACAAAAAGGTATTTTTTTTAAAAAGTCCAATCTCTTTAAACTGTAAGAAACAATTCTAAAAAAAAAAAAAAAAAAAATCTTTCTAACTTGAAATACTATATATAATTTATATAAATCCTTCTTTTGTTTTCTATCTTGAAAATGTAAAAAAATAAAAAATAAATAAAAAATAAATAAAAAAGTCTGGGCATCTTGAAAAAAAAATGAGAAACACAGCCAACCATATATATATATATATACATATTAAAAATAAATAAATACGATAATTTATAAAAATAAAAATAAAATGTTTTAAACAAAACAATATTCAATCATTCGCTTAATATCATTTATATTAAAATAATAATAATAATAATAATTATAATAATATTTTTTCTTTTCTATCTTTTCTATCTTTTCTATCTTTTCTATCTTTTCTATCTTAGGCTTCCTCGAGAATTTTGCCCTCCCCTCCCCTGTTTTTTTTTTCTCCACCTTAATAAAGTACCTCTTTGGTACGCCAATCTTTTTTTTTTCTTTTTTTTTTTTTTTTTGCTAATACTACTACTACTACTACTTACTGTTGCTGCTACCCTTTCTTTTTCTTTATTCTCCTTTTTAACAAAAAAAAAAAAAAAGAAAAAGTTTTTTTTGACTTTCTTTTAATTGAAAATATTTAAATCAATTCTACCTTAATCAAAATTGCAATATTCTTTTTTTTTTCTTCTTCTTTTTCTTCTTCTTTTTTTTCGATAATTAAAAAAACAAAAAAAAAAAAAAAACTAAAGACAAAGATAAAGATAAAGATAAAACAAATCCCTCTCGATCTCTTTTGTATTCTTTTCTTTTTTTTTTTAAAAAAAAATAAAAATTGATCAAGAATACTTCTCGGTAGAATGGACAAATAATGTAAAAAATAAAAATATATTGTAAAAACCCTGCGTTGCTATTACAACTTTTGTTATTGTTGTTATTATTATAGTTGTTGATGATGTTTTTTTTTCAAAATATCTTAGATATTTTAAGAGAGTTAATCTCTATTAAATGTTACCTGTATCAAAAAAAAAAATAAATAAATAAATTCCAAATGGACAAATGAAATTTAGAATATAAAAAAAATAAAAATAAAAATAAAAATAAAAATAAAAATTAATGTAAATGGTGGTATATTGTAAGCACTTTTCTTCAAAATCAGATAAAATAAAATATAAAAATAATAATAATAATAATAATAATAAATATATACCCACTTCCACCATCTTTTGTATTAATAGAATATTCTAAGCAGAAAACCAATACTCATTCTAATTTTTTATTCTCAAAAAAACTAAACTTGACATTTATAAGAAAAAAAAATTTATATTCCTCTTTTTCTTCTTCTTCTTCTTCTTCTTCTTCTTCTTCTTCTTCTTCTCCTTCTTCTTCTTCTTCTTCTTCTTTTTTTTTAAGAAATCAACTTGCAATCAAATCCACTTAAACTCAAACCTACCATTTCTATCATCTTCAAATTTTACTCTTTCTATTCTCACAAGTATTCTTTTGTGTCATCACCCTTGTGTTCTTCAACCTTGAGTCCTCAATGCTTAATTATTCTGAGATATATATTTGACTCCATTTCTCAAAACTAAATTATTTAAAATTTCACTTTTTTATTCATTCATTTATTTTTTAAATTCAAATATCTTTTATATAATTCTCATAATTGTCACCTAAATTAAACCTCTATTCTCAAAATACCCACTTACAAAAAAAAAAAAAAAAAAAAAAAAAAACAATTAAATATAGTAACTATAAATGTTTTACAATTGCTTCGTATTTTTATTCTGTTGTTGATACCCATTCTATGTCTTTTCTTATTCTAATAATACCCTTTCTCATTCTTTGATTCTTATATTTAAAAAAAAATAATCATTAAAAATGTTTTTTTTTATTTTTTTTTTCCCCCAAATCGTCAACCTAACATATCCTTTAGATTATCTTATAATCATAATCATTTTATTTTTAACAAAAAAAAAATACATAAACCCTCTTCTTTTTCTTTTTTCTTTTTTCTTCTTAGTTTTGTCCTTTTTTAAAAAGAAAAAAATAAAAATAAAAATTTTTTTTTTCATATCATCAAAAATTCCTTTACCGAGTATATAGGAATTATAATCTAGTACCGCTCAAGGTATCGTATCAAATGTCTAATTTTTTTTTTTTAAGCGAGGCTGCAAAACACACTAAAAACCTCATATTTGTCACTTAAGAAAAGAATTTTTTTTATCTTCTTCTTCTTCTTCTTCTTTTTTTTTTCATCCTAGTTTTTTTTTTTCTCTTTATCAAATATATATCAATAAAATCAAATTTTCACACTTTTAGTCATTGTTTGTTTGTTTGTTTTTTTTGTTTAATCAAGTTCTTTCAAATTATAATAATCATCTTTATAAAACTAATGGGAAAAAAAATAAAAAAACAATACCTATTCAATGCTTACCTCTTGTATATCCTTTTGTTAATTTAAAAAAAAAAAAAAAAAGATCCATCAAAAACAAAAACATTCAATACTTATTTTCAAAATTCCATAATGAACTCATTTTATCCAAATCATTTTTTTTTAAATACCAACATTACTTTCTTTTTTTTAGCTAAAATGAAGCTATGAATGAAATTGCAAAGATTTTTCCATTAGTTTTATTTTTTTTTTTTTTGGTTATCTAGTTAATCTAATTGATAACTGTCAATAAACATTATCCCAACTCACCTAAAACTGTCTTTTTTCTTTTCTCAAAGGTTTAAGTATCCCCATCATCTTAAAATTTGACCTTCTCCTTTTTTTTTTTTAAAAAAAAACGGCCTCTAGTGATACCTGTCAAATATATATATTGATGCAATGAGGCTAACGAGGTACATAAGTCTATAGAAGAAAACTTTGATGACTGGTCTTTTGACCGTTCAGCTACTATGATGGCCTTGACAGTTATAAATAATAAAAAATTTTCATATTATTTTATTCCATCTTTTTACTTTACTTTACGTTTGTTTTTTTTTTTTTTTTCAGCGCATTGAAAATTGAACAACAATGCACTGCCGTTTTATTCAGCTACTTGGTCAATAAGATACGGTTGATACACTGATAGTTTTCAAAAAAGGAAATAAATAATTAAAAAATTAAAAAAAAAAAAAAGGGGACAATGTCTGTATTTTTTCTCCATATTTTTTTTTTCATTGTTATTTATTAATATTAATGTTGTTGTTGTTTTTTTGGTATATAATAGGTTAATCCTGTCACTACTACCCATCCTTGTTGGCTTCCTCCCCGTTAAGTGTCAGAATCAAGGGGATGATAGATGGACAAAAATTAAAAATAAAAAATAAAAAATAAAAAATAAAAAATAAAAGTTACTACACTACCATCTTTGTCTATATACCAATAGAACTGTCTTGATACTGCCTAGTTATGGATGTCGGATCAAAAAAAAAAAAAAAAAATAATAATAATAATAATAATAATAAAAGAACCCTGTCAAAGCGCTGTAAATATATACGTCAGCTTTGAAGACGTAGTTAAATGAGCTGCTTGTGGAAGGACTGCAAAACGGGATGACTCGAAACCCTATTAAGGATGTTGTTGTTGTTGTTGTATCATAAGTTTATTGCCAATACTTAGCTTTAAAAGACGTTATTCAAAGCCTACGTAAGATTTCATTATTTTTTTTTTTTATAATTATTCTAAAATTAATGATAACCTTATATATCTAAATATATATCTAAATCTATATCTAAATATATATATATATATATATTTGGCTTTATTTATTTATATATTTTAAAAAAAAAAATTCTTTTAGCCCTATCACATTATCCATTATCAAAGATCAAAGATTAAGAAAGTTGTTAACTGCGCCTACTTATGATGATCATCATGATGACAAGCTTTGAACTTTTAGAATAGATTTTTTTATTACATTTTTATTACATTTTTGTAATGTAATGATTGTTACATTTATTGGTAAAACAATCTTGTAATACAAATTTGTAACACTTTTATATTTGTTTGTTACATTATTTATTTTTAATTTTTTAATGAGGTCATACAAAACGACTTAATTAAGACTTTATAAAGTCTTTTTATTTTTTGTTTTTATATTTTTTATATATTTCAAGGTAAAAGGAATGCCTACAATATACAGTACTAAAATAACCACCATAAGTTTGATTTTTTTTTGTCACGCTCAAATAAATTCTGCCATAGCCACCACCATCATTATTAATTAATTAAATTAATTAAATTAATAAATAAATTAATAAATAAATTGTATGCTGAAAAAAAAAATAGCTCGTGTAGGCGGCAAAAGATATTTCACATCTTTATTTTTTATTTTTTTAAAAAAATAAACCACTTTGGTTTGTATCCCAACTCTTTTATATATCCATAACTCTCAAAAGTCTTAAATCTCCACGTATAATTGAACCAATATATACCGTAGAAATATATATATCGTTGTGTTGAAAAAAACCGAAGCCGCAAAAGTACAGTAGTACCGCCTTGTATGGTTTATTAACAATTGGTACACTAAATACGACAAGTTATTAAAAAGAAAAAAAAAAAAAAAGTTGTAATTACACGTTGCAATTTTTTTTTTTTTCACCACCACTCCCCAATAATAAACTTGTCATCACCACCTAAGCCTTCATTTCTAAAAAAAACGTATTCTTTCTTTAATATATATTCCCTCACAATTATTAAACCAACACAATCCTTTTTTTTTTTTAATCATTAAATAAACCAAACTTAAGTCCAATTATATAAATCCCATTGAACTGAAGTTTTTTTTTTTTTTTCTTTCTTCAATTAAAGTCTCGTTGTAGACTTATTTCAACATAATAGACCTTTATAAAATAGCCTCTTTTTAAGAAAAAAAAAAACAAAAAAAAAGCCCGCTTTTTTTTTTTTTTTTTTTTTTTTTTTAAGTCCAATATGTATAATTACCCAGGTCAAGGCTACCCGTTGCAGCAGCAGCAAACTGGCTCTGCAAATAACTACTACCAGCAGCAGCAACAGCAGCAGCAACAGCAGCAGCAACAACAGTCTTACCAATCTGGCATCCTTCCTCAAGCTACTGGATACGTCCAACCTCAAGCAACTGGCTATATCCAACCCCAGGCCACAGGTTATATCCAACCACAAGCTACAGGATATGTTCAATCCTATGGCACTACTGTGGCCGCTACTCCTGCAGTTCCTCCGCTCCCCCAGATTACCACCCAGTCTTTCCAATTGACAGGCACTCCTGCCGTTGCTTCCTCTTCTTCTTCTTCTTCAACCCAGGCATCTAACACTTCTTTCAAGATCCCAAATGGTACGCCATAAACGCGCTTTTTTTTTTTTTTTTTTCTACCCATCTACTAACTTCTTTCTCTAGTCAGACTTTCCTTCATCACTGCTGAAGACCAAAGAAATTTTGAAACTCTCTTCCGCTCAAAGATTGGGCCTGGAGAACAAGCTCTTCCTGGTATGTAACGCGTCTTTATGGTTTAAATATTCAACTAACATTATTATACCCTTCTTACAGGCTCTGTTGCAAGAGACATTTTGATGCTTTCTAACTTGCCTGCTGAAAAACTAAGCAATATTTGGATCCTTTCTGATACCACAAAGTCCGGTCAATTACTCTTTCCAGAGTTTGCTCTTGCAATGTACCTCTGCTCATTGGCCCTCAAGGGTAACCCTCTCCCTACAAAGCTCCCCGATCACATCAAAAACGAAGTCTCAAGCTTGGTCGACATTATTGCCTTTAGTACCCCTGATGCTAAACCACCTCCTGCTCCAAGCAATGTCCCCCAGTTTGGCTCTACCATCACCCAGACCCAGCCCCTGCCCCAACAGCCAACTTCAAACTTGAACACCCTCATGTCTCTTCAACAGGCCATGCCAACCGGCCTCCAAGCCCAGCCAACTGGCGGCTTCATGGCCCCCCAGGCAACAGGATACACCTCGGCTCTCCAGGCTCAAACTACCGGCTATGCTCCTGCCCTTACCGCACAAACAACCGGTTACACGCCTGCTCTCACAGCCCAAACAACTGGCTACTCATCTGCCCTTACAGCCCAAACAACTGGCTACGCCCCTGCCCTTCAGGCACAAACTACCGGTTATGCTCTTCAACCTCAAACTACTGGCTACACTCCTGCCCTTCAAGCCCAAACTACAGGCTATACTCCTGCTCTACAGGCTCAAACTACAGGCTACACTCCTGCTCTCCAGGCTCAAACAACCGGTTATTCCGCTCTTCAAGCTCAGGCTACTGGATACCAGGTTGCTCCCTTGACTGCCATGCCCACTGGTAGACCTGGCGAGTGGGGGTTCATCAACACCCCCACTGGTGGCTTGCCTGGAATGGATGCCTTCCGCTCCAGATTCATGCCCCAACAGGGCGTCCAAAACTTTACTTCGTCTGAGCTCCAGGGCAATGCCAAGGTCGAGTGGGCAATTACCAAGGAAGAAAAGCGCATTTACGATGGTATTTTCTCTGAATGGGACAAGGAACGTAAAGGCTTCATTACTGGTGAAATGGGAATTTCAATCTTTAGCCAAAGTGGTCTAAACAGAGGCGATCTCGAGGCCATTTGGACCCTTTCGGATCCTGGCAACAAGGGCAAACTTGACCGCGATGAGTTTGCAGTGGCCATGCACTTGATTTACCGTCATCTCAATGGCTACCCCATTCCTGCAAGACTCCCACCTGAGTTGATTCCTCCTTCCTCGCAAAACTTTTCTGATTCCGTTGACACCATCAAGTCTTACCTTAAGCAGTCCTCTAAGCCAAACTCTGTGAGTTATCTCAAGAGCCACTCCCTCAAGTCTTCGGCCCCGGCTTTCAAAAAGGATGCCACTGTATTTAAAAACAATGACGATGACTTTGGCTACGTATCAAAGTCTCGTCACCGTTCCAAGCGCGATGGCACTAACGAGGACTCTGAAAAACATCTTTCTTCTGAAAAACTTTCCATTGCTCAGCTTCGTAAGCTTGTTCATGAAAAGCAAATTATTTTGGATGCCATTGATGCAAAGGATGAGGAGGAATTCGATGCAGTCCAGGATATTCAAACGCGCGATTTGAAGGTCATTGAGGAGCTCAAGCACCGCATTACTAATATTCAAAAGGAAATCAACAACAACCCTGATGCTCCTCTTCTTTCCGGTGACCCCCACGAGAGAAAGAAGGAGCTTTTGAGACAACTCAACAAGAATGCCGATGCTCTCCCTCAAATCACAAATGACGTGCGCAAGGTTGAAGATGAAATCGTTCGTCTTAAGCTTGAGCTCTTTAGACTCAAGGCTGAAAAGGAGCACCCGGGCTCCACCATCATTGGTACCGGCCCTAACGGTACCATCACAGAAGCTGACCGCCGTAAGGCTCGTAACCGTGCCATTATGAAGGCCCGTCTGGCCGCCGTCACAGGCAATGCAGCTGATGCTGAGGGTGGCAACAATTTCGAGGAGTTTGAAACCAAATTTTTCCAGGAAAGCGAAAACATTCGCAAGGAACGCGAATCTAATGAGAAGCTGTTTAGAGATATTGAGGACAGCACTGCCCAGATTAAAAGAGACCTCGAGCTTTCTTTGCGCGAAACTAGAGATGACATCCACACTGACCGTGAGCGTCTTCGTTGGGAAGAGGCTATTGGTGTGGAGGATGAAGTTAAGGATTTCATTTACTCTTTGAGACGGTCTGCTAATAAAACAGCAGCACCCTCATCTTCCTTTGGATCCTCTTTTGAGTCTTCAACTCCTGTTTCTTCAAGCTCGTTTTCTCCTTCATCTTCTACCACCTCTCTCCCCGCTGGCTCATCTTCTTCGCCAGCAAATAACGCAAAGAGATCTGCTTCGGAGCGTGCGGCATATATCAAGGCCGAGGCTGAGCGTCGCATGAATGAAAAACTTGCTGCTTTAGGTATCAGCAGACCAAACAAGGCCGCCTCTGCTTTCCAGGCCCCAACCACATCTTCCCCTTCGCCTTCTCCATCGCCTGCTCCTGTTGTGGCTCCAGCTGCTGCTCCAGCTCCTGAGAAGAAGGCTCCTCCACCACCCCCTCCTCATACCAAGCCTGCAGCACCAGCAGCTTCTGCCTTTACACCTGCCCCAGCTCCACCTGCGGCCCCAACTCCTAGATCATTTGCCCCTACCCCTACCCCTGCCGCTCCTGCTCCTGCTCCTGCTGCCGCTGTAGACGAATATTCTTCTAGCGATGATGATTTTGATGACGAAGAGTTTAAGGAACTCCAGAGACTCAAGAAGCAGGAAGAGGAAAGACTGCGAAAGCTTGAAGAAGAGAAGAAGGCCCGCGATGCCAAGAAGGCTGCAAAGGCTAACAAGAAGGCAGAGAGACTTGCCAGCCTCAAGGCCGAAATGGAGGCCATGAAGGAGCGCGAACGTAAACTCATGGCTGACGCCTCGGACTCGGATGAAGAAAAACCAGCAGCAGCAGCAGCAGCAGCAGCAGCTCGTGCTGCTCCTATCGCTGTTGCCCACCCGGCCGCTGCTACATTGTCTCCAAGCACCATTGTTTCTACGGCCACTTCGACAACAACCCCGGATACTTCTTCCTCTTCCTTGTCTGAGCAGACTGGCTCTGACCTTCACACCAGCAACCCATTCTATAGAAATACCGCAGCACCTGCTGCTACTGCTACTACTGCTGCTGTTACGCCTGTGGCTTCTCACCATGACAATAATCCTTTCTTCAAGCCCCAACAGCAACAACCCAACGCTCCCGAGCCTGTCCCTGCTGCACCTGTCGCTGCACCTGTCGCTGCTCCTACCGCTCCCGCTGCTCCTGCCGCTCCTCCTTTTAACCCTCGCTCCACCACCCCCAAGGCCCCTGAGCCAGGCATTGACAAGGACATTGCGGCCAGCCAACGTGCCAACCAACGCGGCCAGAGCGCTTATGATGATGGCTGGGGCGCCGAATCGTCTTCGGAGAGCTCCGATGATGAAGATAGCTCTTCTGCCCGTGCTGGCCCGGACCCTTCTAAACTTGCATCAATGCTTTTCCGCAGCATGGCTCCTCAGAGACCTCTTGGTGCTCAGCCTACTGGCCAGCAGTCTACCCCCACACCTCCTGCTCCTGCTCCTGTGGTCCCCGCCGTCCCTGAAGTTCCCGCCACTCCTGTGGTTCCTGTGGTGCCTACCGCTCCTGCCGCTCCTGTGGCGCCTGCTTTCCCTGAGGTTCCCGCAGTTCCTCAAGCTCCTGTTGCCCCCGTGGTCCCGGTTGCCCCCGTAGCTCCAGCTGCTCCTGAAATCCCAGCAGTCATTTCTGCTCCAACACAGATTCCTCCTGCTCCTCCTGTGCAACCGTTCCCCACACAACCTGCCGCTGCTGCTCCCGTGCCCACATTCTCGGATTCCACTTATGCTACCCCAGAGAGTTCTAATACTCCAGAATTTGAAGCCACACAGCCAGGTTTTGCGGCCCCTCCTCCTCCCACAAATGCGGCCCCACCACCACCACCACCACCACCCCCCGCTGCAATTCCGCCACCACCTCCAGTTGTAGCAGAAACCCAGCCCCAGTTCTCAGCTCCAGCTCCTCCACCACTCCCTGAAGCTGCCGCTCCACCACCACCTCCCCCCCCAAGCGGCATCTTGCCACCACCACCTCCCCCAACCGACGTTGTTGCTGCTGCTGGTGGACCTCCTCCTCCTCCTCCACCTGCACCACCACCACCTCCTCCAGGTGCCCTGCTTGGTGATAGCAGTGATAAACCTTCAATGCCTGATTTTGCGGGAAGCGGGCTGCTGGAGGCCATTCAGCGCGGCACCACGTTGCGCAAGGTCGCCAATCATCCCCAGTAAATATGGTTAACTATGAAAATCTCGACCTTTTTTTTTTTTTTTTTTTATTAAAAAAAATAATTATAAAGAAATAAAAATAAAAAAAAATTATAAATTTAACTTTATACAGATAAAAATAAATTAAAAAGCAAACCACTAAATGAAAAGTTCTGATCTTGAGACCTGGCCCAGTCCAAGTCTGAGTCCACACCTACACAAGGTTGACAAAACCTAGGCGTTGTGAAATTTATATAAATATTTCCAAGTTTTGGTAAAAAAAAAAAAGGAATTTCATTCACATACCTTTTATTAATTAATTTTTCTCTAAAAAAAATCAATAGATTCTTCTGCCTTTGTAAGATTTAATAGATTTAATAGATTCAAAAGATTTAAGAGTTATTTTTTTTGAAAAATAGTTACCGTATTGGGGCAACTTTTTTTATGCACGGCTATTTTTTCTTAACCCCAACCCTTATATAAGATCCTTTTTAAAAAGTAACCCTAAACCCATATGATGCCCATTTCTGGGGATTTGGTTACAAACATGGATCAGCCAGAGAGAAATACTAAAGAGAATAAGAAACCTGATTTCAATTGCTACCAAAAAAAAAAGAAAAAAAAAGAATTAAAGATACAAAAAAAAAAAAAAACAAATTTGAGATTACATTAAAAAAATTCTAGATTTAATATTTGACTACTTTAAACTTGGGAAAGCTTTCCTAATCATTTGGTCTTGTTTCTAAGTCGGAATTTAACAGTATAATATTGAAGCCATATATACTTTTTTTGAAAAAACTTAATTAATATCCTCAATTCACATAATTGAAAAAAAAAACTTTCATATATTGCCGTTCTTTTTTTTTCTTTTAAAATGATAATTTTCATTTCAGATATTATGATATCTGATTTGTAAAATGAAAAAAAAAGCAATATAAAAAAAGCAAATTCAAATTGGGTATTGATTTTTCTGATTGATTTATTTTCATAAGGAATTGAATACTTGCATATACAGATGTTTTCATGAAACTATTTCCAAGTCAGCATATATATTCTTACAAGTACTCTCATTCCCTAACTTTTCAAAGCATCTGACTTATTCCAACCAGCATTAATGAGTTTTTCTTTTTGTATAATTGCTCAATATAATAACTAATGGTCATATTTTGTTTCTTTTGAAAATACTTGACACCGGAATTTACAAACTGCTAAAAAAAAGAAAAAGAAAAAATGTTCCCGGTATCATTCATTCATACTTGGCGTGCACCAGGACTGTTTTAACCTAAGCACCCACAAAGATTTCTAAAAAAATTCTTCTGATCAATCCCAATTTTCGATTGTAAGTGAAATATCAAGTAGACCCAGTTTTTTTTCTTTTTTTTTTAACATTTGGTTTCCTTAAGAAAATTCAATAGTCAATTATGCTTAAAAAAAAACCAATTCCCATATCCTTATAATTCCTGATTTGTTTTAAAAGCCCACACAACTGTTTGATTGCGTTTTCTTAAAGACTTTTTATGTATTTTATTTATTTTTTTTGCCTTCATTTTACTTTTAAATTATAAACTAGGCAGATGAGTTACGTATTCTCATCTTGGCTTAATTTCTAATGGTCTACGTAAGTACTTTTTTTGTTCGACAGTGTATTTTTCCAAAGCGCCGTAATTAAAAAACCTACGGAATACAAAAAAAAAAAAAATAAAAAAGAAAAAAAAAAGAAGAGAAGGAACAATAGTTATTGTTGTACTACTTTAAAATAAAATAAATTTAAGCTTATTTTAACACAATAAATAAAAAGAGAGACCATGATGTCTACGCAATCACGACTAGTGATGCGGATACACCCATCTTTGTACCTTGGCAAAGGGAAGATCTCTTAACAGCATTTAGAAGCTCTGCTTGGCTACTTGCCAATATCTGAATAAAAATATAGTACAGTTTTTTTTCATAGGATCGCAGGAAATGTAAAAAAGAAAAGTGTTTCTAATATAGCTGTATGTATTGTTAGTTACATTGGCTGGTAAATGTACAGAAAATAGAGTAAAAAATTTCCAAAATGATTCACAAACCATTATGCCAGTTAGAAGATTCCCCCTTTCCCCACACCATTCCTACAAGTAAATCGAGGTAGTATAAAAGAAATGTATGAAACATTATCAAAAAAGGAAGATATTGACTGGGTTGACAATTGAGCTTGATAAATAAAAAGGAAAAAAAAAGTTAAATTGTTAAAATGGGAGGAAAAAAGAGTCTATTAAATCAAATTATTTTAAAAAACCTACAATGACACATTTTACTAGAACCAGCATAGCTTAGCTTAGAAAAATTCAGGCAGGTACGACGGTAGGGACCAGGAACGCATTTTGTGCTTATATACCGACAATATGCAAAGACATGAGAGAACGTAGAAAGCTCAGATTGTAATAATGTTTAAAAGCGAGTTAAGCTATGAATCAAACTCGGTTCAGATGGACATCTAAAAAAAGAAGAAAGCAAACAGCAAGTGGATGGAATGAAAAAAAAAGATCATCATAAAAACTTTATTATTTACGTGAAAACCATAACGTCCAAGCTTTAGGTTGAAAGCTAGAAAATGTCAAATGTTAATAGGAGTGGCGCATTTTGGGGAAAATCAAATTGTTTGAAGAAATTTAAAAAAAGCAAACAGATGGAAAAAAAAAAGATCTAAGGCGCCACTGGGGCTAGAGCTTTGAATTTATGCATAATTACAGATGAGGTAAATAAAAAGTTTAAAGGAAAAAAAAGGGACAACCAAATAATAGAATTTCATACTCAAGGGCAAATATGTTTCCGCAATTTTTATAGTGGGAAAAAGGGTCCTGAACTTAAAGAAAATAATCAAAGTTTTTATATGTTTAAAATGAAAAAAAGAGAAAAAGAGGAAATTCAAGTCATTTAGAGATTTATTAAAAAAGAAGATTAGGTTAAATGAAACAAAAAAATGATTAAGAAAAAAAAAAAACTGCTTTTAGGCAGATTTTTATTTCACAATTAAGTGTTTCTAATACGGGAGCTAAAATTTCGCAAAAAAAATGAAAGGTTAATTTAAAAAGAACAAGAACTTGAAGAAGTATTCAAAATATGAAATATTTACTGATTGAATTGAAAGGAATTGGAGGGTTGTGTGAATAATTTGAATAAGTTTAGAGAAAAGATTTTAAAAGCAGAATTTTTGGTTTGTTTAGATTCATTGTAGAAGCTGCAAAGGCAAGACTCTAATAACACATTTCCGATAGGATTATGGCACTGAATTAATTCAAGAGAATGATAGTTTTGCCATACAATTAATAAAGGAAAACAAAAGACCAAACAAATACTTGCACAAAAAGTTTCCATTAAAAAAATTAAAAATCATTCAAATTTCTTAGACAGCAACTCGGAATCTTTCCGTTTCTCCTATTACTTTACTCCCCACTTCTGCAGTCTGTATTCAATTTATGCCAATTGACAATGGTGCATGATCGCCTTAGAGCTTGATGTTATCTTTTATTTTGAAACGATAGTAAACTAAAGAGCTTGTGCAAAGAACCAGAAGAACTCTATACTTGATGCATTTCGTTTTAAGAAAAGAAAAAAGAATGACTAATAAGAATATCACGAGGGATTTGTTTAAAAAAAAGAATATAAAAGAAAACTGATTTCCCGGTTTCAATAAGAAATTTCTATCTTCTTTTTTTCATCAATAAATCAGCTGGTTTGTTTTTGATTTTGCTTATTCTTTTCTTTATTTACTCCTTTGAAAATTTATCTTATTGTTCTTTTAAAAAAGCCCATACATTCCTTTTCAATCAAGTCTATTCATAATCCTTTTATTATACTTAAAAAATGAAGTTCTCTAATATTTTGATTGCTTTATACGCATCTTACACTTTGGCAGCTCCAGTTGCTGAAGCTGAGGCTAATGCGGAGGCAATTGCCAATGCTGACCCCGAGGCTCATGCTGAAGCTCATCCCTTTGCTGGTTTTGGAATCATTAGCTCACTTATTAGTTCCAAACTTTCTGCAATCAAGGGCTCTTCATCTAAAGGCTCTTCATCTTGCAGCTCTAGCAGCTGCTCATGTTCCAGCTGCAGTTCTGGTAAAAGCAGCAGCAGCAAGTCCAGTAAGTGGAAGCTTGCCAAGCGCAGGAATAACAAGAGCTCTGGGACTACATTGGTTACCGGGACTATTGGTATTTTGGGAGGTTCCTCTGGAGTAAAACTCACGGGGACTTCTAGTGGTAGTTGTGGTTCGGGTAGTTCTTCATGTGGAGGATCGACTGGAGGCACCACTTCTGGAACGACTTCAGGAACAAGTTCTGGGGGGACTTCCGGTGGTACAACTGGCGGTACTTCTGGCAGCACTACTGGTGGCACTACCAGCGGCACTTCGTCTGGAACTACTGGCGGAACTACTGGTGGTACTTCTAGTGGCTCTATGTCTGGAACCACTAGCGGTAGTACCGGTAGTACTTCAGGGACTTGTGGTTCTGGCAGCTCGTCTTGTGGGTCATCCGGGACTACTGGGGGGTCAGGGACTGGTGGATCCGGTGGTTCAGGAACTGGAGGGTCTGGAGGTTCAGGGACTGGAGGTTCCAGTTCCGGCACTGGTAGCACCGGCGGTTCCGGCACCGGTGGTTCTGGTGGTTCTGGTACTGGAGGCACTGGCGGGTCAGGAACTGGAGGCAGTGCTTCTAGCGGCAACACGTATTCTTACACTAAGAGTTATAGCAGTTCCAATAGCGTTCAGACAACCTATACAAGTGGAAACACAGGAAACACAGGAAACACAGGAAATACTGGATCTACCGGGTCGTCTGGATCGACTGGTTCGACAAACAATTCAGGTTCAACAGGATCTACGGGATCCACAGGCTCAACTGGGTTAACTGGGTCAACAGGTTCAAATACTGGTTCTACAGGATCTACGGGCTCTACAGGATCTACGGGCTCCACGGGCTCCACAGGCTCCACAGGCTCGACCACAGGCTCCACAGGCTCAACAGGCTCCACAGGTTCGACCACAGGCTCTACTGGATCTACAGGCTCCACAGGCTCCACAGGCTCCACAGGCTCCACAGGCTCAACTACAGGTTCCACGGGTTCCACGGGTTCCACGGGTTCTACGGGTTCCACGGGTTCCACTGGAGGCACCACAACCACTACGACGACGACGACCTCCAACACAATTTATGTTATGACGAATGGACTTTTGTGCACGACCCCAGTTTCCGGATCTGTTGTTTTCTACAGCACCATTCGCAATGGAATTTGTTATGCAAGCTCTCCCTCGATTTCAAATGGTATAGTTATCATCAACAGTAGCGGCCAGTTGCAGGTTGTTTCGAGTGGAAGCACGAGTTGGTCGATTTCTGGAAGTTATATCGTTCCATCCGGTAGATCGATTTATAGCTGCTCGTATAGTGGAAGCTTGAGAGTCTTGACAGCAAAAAGTTGCTCTGGAGGAAAGAGTCTGTCTCTGTCTTCTATTGGCAAGGCGTTTTACCATTAAAGAAAAGGAAGGAGCAAAGGAGGGGTGAATTGGCGCGCTACTACCCCTTTATTAGTATTTTTTTTTTTTATTATCCACAAGAGTTGACAATTATTTAAGGCTATATTTATTATATGTGATGAAAATATTTATTATTTCAAGAAAAAAATATATATATATTTATGTTGAAACAATGAAGAACAATTTTTTTTTTAAAAAATTAGTGAATGAGAAATTGACAAGATTTAAAATTCCTTTTTGATGTTTCTGATCCTTTCTCCAGGTCTCAGTCATAACAAGATGCGATGTTCCAAACGTTAATAGTGGATGATATTTATAAATGGGAACAAACAAGCTATTATAAAAGATTAATTTCAAATTCATATGAAAGAGAATGAATAGTTTAAAACGAAGTCTAAAAAAAAAAAAAAGAAAAAAAAATTGAATAAATAACAGTTTAAAAAAAAAAAAAACTGATTCTTGACATCTTTCTAAAAAAATGTCAAGTCAAAAAAAAAGAAAACTCCGATACGGGGAATCGAACCCCGAACTGCTCGGTGAAAGCGAACCGTGCTAGCCGTTACACTATATCGGATATTTGTTAAAGTGTTTTGAATAAGCTCGTATATAAGCTTTGAAAAGTGACATATGTAAAAAACCATTTATAAAATTTCTTTAAAAGGGGAAAAAGGGCTGGATGGTGTAAAGGGTAACACGTTCGTTCGATAGCGGAAGATACTGGGTTCGATTCCCAGAATACCCCCTTTTCCTGAGGATGTGTACGGGAGTATACACCTAGATTGAAAACCATAGGCTACCCTGGTTACAGGAATGCCGACTCTTCCGTACAGTCTAAATAGCCTGCAGGTGATTGCGGGCCGTATCTCTGGCGGAAGAGATTAAGAAATACATGGGCGTCCGTGAAGATAAGTGGAAATGGGTTGGGAAGGTTTTGGGACCGACAGACTGGTTCTCCCTGTTCCTCGTAAGCTGGCATCAGGGCCCATCTTCCGGGCTACCGGAGACGCACAGAACAGAAACCACCCGTACTAAAAAGGTACAAATGAAAACCGGCAAGTCACATAGTCAGACAATAAAAGGATAGCGCAGATGCTGATGTTATATAGTTCTATAACCCTTGAATAAAAACAAACAAACAAACATTTCTTTAAAATGTGATAATTTTAAAAGATAATTTAAAATAAAAAATAATCATCGCTGTTTGGGTAACTATCTATAAACAATTTGACAGATGTTGGTTAATTTTTATTTGCTAGAACAAGAAAGAAAAGGGTTGAAATGGGTGGATATTTAGAAAGATGGATTTGTCGACTCTCTCAAACAGTTTAATTAGTTTAGAAGAGATTGTAAGATAAATTTATGTATTTATGAATTAAAAAATACAATTATAGTGTTGTTGAAGATATGTGAAGATAAGTGGGGAAGGTTTAGTCTTTGACTCCTTAACTTATTTCTCGTAAGTTGACATCAAGAATTATTTTTCGTTTTGTTGGAGATACAATGTTGAATTCAAATTTAAAGTTTGTTATAAAAACAGAAAATTCATAATAGAAGCAAAAAAGATAGATTTGATTTTAATGTTAAATATATATTTCAATAACCATTGAATATAAACAAACAAACAAACAAACCAACAATTTGCACCAACTTTTAGTTTAATAACACTTTTGATTTTATATATTTTTACATTTCAAAGTAATTTGAAATGAAACTAATGGAAAGCCAAGAATACTATTTAGGATAGTTAATAATGTTATAGAGTATATAGCATGGTGGCAGGCTGTCTAGATTGATTATAATTATAATCAGATAAAAAATGAAGATATCATAGCGAATGTAAAAGAAAAAAAAAAAAAAAAAGAAAATCCAAAAATAGTGGGTAATATAGGTTACCTAAGCGCATGGAAAAAAAGTAAACAAGATGAAACTATATATAATTTCCTATTAGATTTGAATATATTAATGGAATTTTTTTTTTTTTTTTGGAGTATGAAAGAAAAGAAAGGAAAGTTGAGAATATTACAGAGTGATACGACCAAGTGCATATTTTGTATTTTTTTATTTTCTTGTTTGGTTAAGTTCCATTCTTTTTTTTTTTTTTTGATAAACACAAGAAACAAGGGGAAAAGAGTTGGACGAGAGAGAAAGGTGGATTGGTAAGTTATTGAATTAGAAATATTTATAAAAGTTTGAATTTTTATTTTTCAACCAACTTCCAACTGTTTATATATATATATATATATGAGAGGTATAAGAAAAAGTTTTTTTTGGGAGAATTGAATGTTGTGTTAGAAAACTATTTAATATAGGTTTTGAAAGAAAAATTTCAGAATTTAAAAATCCAGTCTAAATAAGAAGATTTAATATCACCAATGAATAATAAATATATAGTTCAAAACAAAGAAGTTAAAAAAGAAGAATTAAAACATTGGCTTTATTTATTTTAATTCTTTTTTTGGAGTAAAAAAAACATTGATCCCCTCTTGGATAAAATATAAATAAATAAATAAACAAATAAACAAACAAACCAATAGAGGATTTCGGGAAAACCTTTGCCCGTGACTGGACTTTAAAGTACAAGTTTGCCCACTTTCATCGTATATAAAATACCAACTTCCATGAACAAGAAGTTAAGATCCTTAATATATATAAAAAAAAAATTTACTGTTATGGGTGGAATTGATATGTCATAATTTATTGCTATGAAGTCATTTTTATTTTATTTTATTTTATTTTATATTTTTCATCTTTTCTATATGTGGAGAGGAAGCGTCGGCACTTTAAGGTTATTTATTTGTTTATTTATTTTTAATTCTTTTTTTTTTTAAGCCAATCAACAAACCATTTAAATTCCATACGGCTCCAAAACACGCTGTGACGTCATTGGAAAGTTTCTTCTGTATTTAAAAGTCTATTATTATTATTATTATTATTATTATTATTATTATTATTATTATTATTATTATTATTATTATTATTATTATTATTATTATTATTATTATTATTATTATTATTATTATTATTATTATTATTATTATTATTATTATTGGGAAGTTGAGCTTCGGGTATTTCACCAGTGAGAACATCCAAAGTGCGGATGGCCCAATACAGCAGCAACAGCAACAGCAGCAAAGGGGAACCCAAAAAAGTCTTGCCTGTCTGCTTGACTGCCTGACTGCCTAATACGGAAGACCTAAAATATCGTCAAAACTCGCGTTCTAATAATTATTAGAATAACTATTATAGAATAATTAATAAACGAGACCAAAAATTAAAATGGCAACAAAGAAATACACATCACATTGAAATCAAAATTACTTCATCTATAAATACCCACTGAATCCCACAAGTTAATGGCTTTTTTTTTTTCTATTAGTATTTATTAATTAAACCAAAAAAAAAAAACCATTCTCTCTTTTCTTAATCTATTCACCAAAAAAAAACTCTCAATCTAATAACTATCAAAATGAAGTTCTCTGCTATCGCTTTTGCCGCCATTGTTGCCCTCGTTGAGGCCGCCGTCCCCGCCGGCACCAAGTTTGGTCTCGTTTCCATCCGCTCCGGCTCCCCCGTCCAGTACGCCTCTGCCTCCTTGAACTCTGACAACCAGGTTGTTCTCGGTGCCACTGTCTCCAGCTCTGACGACTATCTTACTGCTGTCAATGTCGGTGACGGCTCCCTCTCCATTGAGGGCACTGACCTTTACCTTGGTCTTAACTCTGACAAGGCTTTGGTCGCTACCTCCACTCCCAGCAAGATCTTCTCTTTCTCTGACGACAGATACCTTGCCATTGACGGCAGCGATGCCATCACTGCTGTTTCCGAGTCTTCTTACTACTCTGTCTACGCTGGTGCTGTCACCACTGACAAGACCACTTATGGCATTGCTCTTCTCATCACCTCTGCTGTTACCGGTTCTTCTTCCTCCTCTGCTGCTGCTTCTTCTGCTGCTGCTTCTTCTTCTGCTGCTACCACTGCTACCCAGTCTGCTCCTGCCGTTGTCTCTTCCGCTGCTCCTTCCACTACCCTTGCTCAGGTCAATGGTGCTGCTTCTAAGGGCTCCGTCTTTGCCGCTGCCGTTGCTGCCGTTGGTGGTGCTCTTCTTCTTTAATTTTTCTACATGAAAAATATTTTGCATTACTAAAAAAAAAAAACAAATTGAACATGTATTTCTAGCTCTAAAATGTACTTTTGAACATCAAACTTTTTTTTTTCTTTTTTGTTAACATAATAATTTTTAATTCATTTTATTTAACCAAAATACCAATGTAGAAGTGAAGTTTTGAAAAATTTCTTTTTTTATTATTATTATTTTTTTTCAAAGTTGCCACGCGTTTGGGTGCCTCAAGCGATTAAGTTAATTAAGCCAAAAAAAAAAGGTGGGATGTTGTTGTTGTTTTGGCCTAATTTGGCAGACAAATTATAAAAAGTCAATGCTCACAAAGTTCAGTTCAAGCATTTGGATATGCTAGAATGCATTAATATTAATATTGATATTTTCTTGTCAAACTGTTTTTTTTTTTTTTTTTTTTTTTGCATAATGATTTAGCCTGAATTTCATTTTTCAATTTTTCATTTTCTAGTTATTTATAAATCAAGAATTAATTGATCAAACCCAATTTTATGCACATACAATATTTGAATATCGCTATATTCTTAATTGCATAAAGTTAGAAAATCTTCCATTCAAGTTTGTAAATCTACAATCTTTTTTACTGTCAAGTACCTAAGAAAAAAATCAAATAAAATACAATAATTAGAAATTTATATTTACAAACTTGAAAAACCTCAATTTCATGCCCTCAACAATGACCATGGGTATAAAAGAACTTGAAAACTTCTTCAAAATGTGATTTTCAAATAAATCAATAAATACATCCATAAAACTATAATGAAACCTTCAGATCTATTAAAAACATCCATTGGAGTCTTTGTGGGACTATCTCACGCTGCTCCAATTGCAGACTCCCAAATCCAACATCCAACCCCTCTACCATCTTCACAAAACACCATCACCACTTCCTCCTCAAACTCAACTCTCAACGATACCCAAGTATCTTCTCAATGGTCTTACTTTATGTATTGGGACAACCCAGAGTGGCACTACCACAATGAAAAACAAGACTTTGAATGCGAAACATATTCCTCCCTATTCTACCCTTATACTGGTTATCGCCTCCTCCGCAAGTATGAGCTCACCCTTGCCCTTTTCCCCGTCAAAACCTCTCTCAAGTTTGTCTTTTGCCACCGTGGCCGTGTTGTTGCCGAACAGCTCATTGATTACAATGAGCAAACTGATGCAGGCCGCCCACTCTTCCGTTGGGACCGCACTTTTTGTATAACATCAAGAGAACCTTTCACCCCGGATGCCCGCGGGTGTTTCCGAATGGCCCGCCGTGCTCGCTATACAGACTTTGGATTGCCCTTGTACCCACGCGAAGCCTTTATCGGTGGCTTATTCCGGTGCCCCACTGATGACCCAACTGCCCCCTGTGACCAAAATGAAGCTGTGTCTCCGGCAGCACCACTTATTGCGGACGAACCCTATGCCGGCGTATTTGAGCTCCACAACCCATGGAAATTTCTTTACCATGAACCTCTCTTCTATACCCCGGACTACTACTCTCAGGTGTACCCACGTTATAGCGAGATGTGGGCCCGTTTCATTGACATTAATGAGGAGTACGATGCAGACACCATTGTTGTTTCGAAAAACGGAATCAAAAAACGTATCCGGCGATCTAAAAAGTATACTTCCAGTTCAAGACCTGGGTCTAGGCCTAAACCTGGGACCAACAACCAGCAGACCCCAGCTGCTGTTTCAGTTGATTCTCTGGAGGAATTCAATCTTTTTGACGAAACAATGCGGATGGTTGAACCATATCTTCCGCGGGCCATTTCACACGCTCTTTTCTCCTCTTTCCCACGTCCTTCTGCTTCTAGTTCTTCTTCTTCTTCTTCTTTTTCTGCTCCCAAATTTGCCCGCATTGTGGCTGCACTCGGAGCTATGCCTGACCGCAGAGCTGCTGCCAGGATCTATCATACTCTAGTTGTGCGTGCAAACGGCCGTGAAGCTTTACCCGATCCTCGTATTCGGCTTGCTGACCCAGACTTGGCAGGTGATGCTGAGCACAGTGTACTTTTTTCCGAATGGGCTGGAGCCCGACACAATGGATCTGAGTATGAGACACTATACAATAATAAAAACGGGTGGCTGGCCAAACTTAATGTGTTTAAGTATTACAGACCTAGAACCCGTATAGCCAAGCAACAGACAGTTAATGAAGATGATTCTGATGCTCTTGGAAATCCTTCTATAGGCAAAACTTTCCCCGTGGAGGCCATGAAACGTCCTCCCAAGTATTACTCGGATCTCAAACCTGGGCGTGATTACAACAATTACCATTACCCACCTGGAAGCTATATTGACCAGATCCAACGAAAGAAGGAAATGCAGCGGCGGCGCCGGGTCGGCGAGCACTACTGTCCCCCTGGAAAACGGTGCAAATTTTAACACTGGGTCTACGTGTTTTATAAAAATTTTAAAAGCTGGCCATTAGCCATTATTCTTCATTACTATTCCGAGGTTTTTTTTTTATTTTTTCATTTAATTCGTTTATATATACTTTATAATCTAAGTTTTTTTTTCTTTTTCTTTTCTTTTCTTTTCTTTTCTTTCCTTTTCTTTCCTTTCTATTCTTCATCCTCATTGTCCTTGAGCTCAAAATACTTTTGTCGAGTCACCACTGCAACCCGCCGCACGCCGCGCCGACCATCATCAAGGGCCACTGCCAGTCCGCGTTGCACGGTTTTAACGTGTGGCACGACACGCACCCGCGGCAGAGTATCTACAAATGAATCAAGACACCGCAGAGCGGCCACACGAACCTGTGGGGAAGCCTCATTTGCGCTATTTGTAGCGTCAAGAAGCTGTGGCACCAGTGTCGAGAGGTGCTGGGAAATAGTTTCAGCGACAGGAGATGTGGAAGAGTCAGAAGACAATAAAGTTGAGGTTATTGTGTTGATACTGGCTTCGCGTACACGCGCGTTTGGGATGGAGAGCGACTGGAGCAACAGCCGGAAAAACTTGGGCACATAGGCAGAGAGTACTGAGCTAGGCATGTGGCGCAGGATTCCGGCTAAAGCCACGAGATAATTAACCTTGATTGACGATGATGGTGCGGACTCGAAGCCCTGGACCAGGGGGTCGATGACAAGCACAAAGAGACGCTGTTTATAGAGCAAGCGTACTACAGCACCATTTTCCTTGTTTAGCACACCGTCGTCGCTGACCAGAACCTCAGCAAGCTTGCTAGCTCGTACGCCTACGAGGTCTGTTTGTAGCAGCGTGAGGATGTATTGAACGAGGGTAAACCCGAAGGCGTCTGTGCGGATGACCAGAGCCTTTGTTATCCAGAAAAGGACTTCAAGGGCGCTAGTATCAGTGGTCACAGTTTTCTTAAGAGGGTCGACAAACTCTGCGGCGAATGTGGGAATCCATTTGTTAAAGAGAAGGGCAATTAGTCTTAGGTAAGTTAGACGGAGGTGGACATCTTGAGTGGTGCTAAGAATGGTGACACTATTTGTGACAATTGTGGGGAGAACTTGAGTAATTTCTTCAGGAATGGTTGCTTTGGGAGAGACCGGGACCAAGCCGTAAAGAAAGAGAGTAGTTAAAGCGGAGGGGGTAGATTTCAAGGGAGTAAAGTCTTGGGGAGGGGTACCGAGGGGGGATTGTTTATTGAACCAAAACAGGTTGAAGAGACTTTGGACAAAATCAATTTGTTGTTCTGGCTGAAGGGCCTTGGAGATATACAAGAGCGAAAGACTGGCAGAGATGATGACATGGGGGTCTGTAGATAATGATTTTTGCTTTAAGAAACGCTGGACAATAAGTGGGGCTAGCTGTTTGACATAGATGAGTGCGTCTTGAGGGTGTGATTCAAGCATGCGCTTAAGAACGGCTGCAATTGTGGAGAAGATTGCAAGAGGGTACTTTGAGGAAGAATCAGCAATGACCAAGTCCAGTTTATTGAGAAGTCTGAAAGACAAGACTTCAAAGATATTGCGGGAGACTGCAGTTTTGGAGAGAGCAGTTAGAATAGTACCAATTGCAAGTTGGTCTTCCTCAGAGGCATCTGAATCTGGTAGTTTTGAGAGGAAAAAGGGGTATGTGATTGATAAGATGGACTGTTCGTGATGGCTAGCCACTTGTACAAGCGAGTCGAGAACAGCATCAGAGAGGGGCTTATTGTTTTGGGATGAGAAAATGATTTCATCAAAGTATTGGACAATGAGTCCGACTTCTTGTGAAGTTAGATAATCTGTTGTACGGATGAGCAAGGTAAGGTTAGAAACGGCCAAGACGCGGACTTCAGTTTCAGTTTCGGAAGTACTCATGAGAGATTTTGTAAAGAACTCAATGAATGCATCTTTGAAAGAGATCAGGGCTTGAGGGAGATCCTTTGCAGCAGTGATGTAAGTTTGGCAGATTGTAAGGAGGTGTTTTTGGGCTGTTAGGGTAAGAGACTTGAGAGCATTGTCTAATGCTGGAGCCAATGTTTGGGAGGCAATCTGTTTATAGATTCCGAGTGAGCCTTGGGCGATTCCTGCGGCGAGTGTGGCAGCAGCCAAAGACTTTTTATTTGTTGTGTCAAGGATAGTATCTTTAGTTTCGTTGATTACAGCAACCAGATAATCTTCATTATGGTCTTCGATGGAGATTGCTAGGGTTCTTAATGCTTGGAGAGAGAGGTCTTGGGAATCTTGTTCAGATCCATGAAGGACCTCATATTTGAGGCCATCCCAAATGTCTCTCCAAAGGGGGACGAGGTATTCTGGGCGGTAGTTTTGGATACAGTCAACGATAGTTTCCAAGGCATCGGATTTAATTTTAGGAGAAGAAGAAGCCATTTTGTCCATTAGGGAAGAAAAAATATGGTCAGCAAAGAGACCATTTGCTGCCAGGGCTTTACGGAGAGCATCTTTAAGGTCTTTGGAAGTAATACCGTAAGGGTCATTTTTAGGTGGTTCGAAGGTGATTGGGAAGTAACAGAAGGAGACATCAAAGAGTTTAAGAGCATATTTGGGAAGGGATTGTTGGAAGGATTGGTTTGAGAGGATACTATAGGAAAGGTTGAAAGATTTGATGAGATTTCTTGGGTCCTTTTCACCTGTGGTTACATGGAGAAAAGTTGTGATAAAAGTATCAGGGATAGATTCGATATAAGAGGGGAATTTAGAGAAGAGAGATTCAAGGATGGAGAAGAGAGAGAATCTTGCGACTTGAGGGTATTGTCTAGGGGTAGTATTTGATTTGATTGAATCTAAAAGGGAGAGGGTCATTGAAGAGGAGAATGCACTTTGTGGGATTAGGGCTAAAAGGCCTTGAAGAACAGGTTTGATTGATTCTGAGTCATCAAGGCGATCTGAGAAGAAGCTTAGGATGACAGAGACTTGAGATTTTGCAAGTTTATCAGTTGGTAAGGCAGCAATTGTTTGAGCAATACAAGCAATTGCAGATGCTCTAGTGTCTGATTTTTCATCTGTGAGGTAATCTCCGAGGAATTGGACTAGTTGGACTAGTTTGATTTTATCAGAAGAGATTGCAGAGGCTAAAGAAGCAGCGATTGAAGCAGTTTCTGATTGGTCTCGTGAGATCATGTACTCGTGGACCTGAGCGTTATATTTTGCTGAGGGGTCCATATTTTTTTGTGAATAAATAGGTAGATAGATAGATGGTGATGATGATGTTAGATTTTTTTTTTGTTTTTTTTTTTTCAAAGTTTGTGTGGGTAGAAGAAGAACTATTTTGACCAAAATTTAAGAAATTTGAAAAAAAAAAAAAAAAAAAAACTTTTTTAATTTATTTTATTATTTTTTAATATCTAATTAATTTTTTTTTTGGAGGAGGAGAAAAAGAAAAGTACTAAGGTTTATATCACGTGTATGTAATTTTTATTTGTCATCATGTAACAGAAAATATCATGTGATGTATTACAAGTAACAAATTGTTTTTTTTTTTAGATAAGATTTTTGTTTAAATTTTTTTTTTTTTTTTTTTTGAGGTTCATTTAAACTTTAAGCAGAAAGATAACGGTGGTTAAACATAAAAAGGGATGGGGTGGTCGGGTGTACCTGTGATTTTGTTCTAGCGGTATATCCTAGTCTGTATGTATAGATCTGAGTCTGGCCGCGTGATAAGATAAGTTTTTTTTTATTTTATTTTATTTTATTTTATTTTTTTTTTTTTTGAAAGTGAAAATTTTTTTTTTTTTGTGGGTGGAGAAAATTAAAATAAAAAAAAAATTTTTCAGCGGAGAGGCGGTCCGAGTAAAAAAAAAAAAAAAAAAAAAAAAGCAGCAGTCAAAAGCAGCATCAGCATCAATAACAAAAGTAGCAGCAACAGTTAGTTATTACTAATATTATATTATCAATTATATATATATTTAAAAACATTGAGATAGATATATTGAAAGTAAGAAAGTAAGAAAGTAAGAAAGTAAGAAAGAAAGAAATAATATATAAAGATATTTGATGTTTAAAATAAATTTATCTTTAATTGTTTGTGTTAATACTTTTTATATAACTTTAAACAAAAATAAAAAAATCATATATATACACAGATAACAACAAACAACAAAAAAAAAAGAAAAACCCCTTGGTAATAATAAAAAAAAAAAAAAACTCAGATAAGAACCACAAAAAAAAAAAAAATCTTCTTTTTTTTTTTTTTTTTTTTTTTTAGATTGTCAGTTTTCAAATCACCTCTCAATATATAAAATTTTTTTATAATTTTTTTTTTTTTTTTGCTACACAATTTTTTTATTTTTTTTTTTGTTTCCCCCCCTTTTATTTTTATTTTTATTTTTTTCCCTTTTTACAACAGCATATGTTGGTTTATTTATATTATATATATATTATCACCACAATAAAAGTCTTCAATTTTTTCTTATTCTTATTCTTTCATTTATTATCGATAAACAAATTAAATAAATAAATAAAAAAAATTGTTTTTTAAATTAAAATCGTTTTTTTATTAATTTTTTTTTTTTTTTTAAAATATCACCACTTATCTATTCAAAAAAAAATTTTTTTTTTAGTAAACCTTCTTAATCAATCCAATCAATCAATCAAATCAAATCTCTTAAACAACTAAAAAATAAAACAAAATTCATTACTATTACTACTTTACTCATAAATATTTATATATATATATATATATCAAACAAATAAATAAAAAATACCCGCCCAATAGAAGAAATAGAAAAAAAAATTATAAGATAATAAAAAAATTTTTTTTTTTTCTTTCTTTCTATTGTAATCAATTAATCTTCAAATGTCTGCAACGGCGCAAGCAACTCAAACCCTGTGCGCAGATCACCACCAACAACAACATCAAAACTCAGCTTCTCCAGTGTCTCGTACACCTTCAGCTCAACCTTCGTTATCTCCTTCTCCAGCATCTGAACCTTCGGAAACAGTTTCTTCATCATCTTCATCATCTTCATCATCATCATCTTCTTCTTCTTCTTCTTCATCTCTAGAAGACGAAATTGGGTCTACACAACAACACCAACATCAACAACAACAACAACAACAACAACCACTCGCAACCTCTTCTACTGCAACAAACTCTTGCGCACCAGTTTCTACAATCCATAAAATATCACCAACTGAAACATCTTCCCCAAATCCTCCATTGAAACAAGACCAACTGCCTGACCAGCTGCAAAAGGAGCCCAGCCCAGGGCCTGCGCAAGCAGTCCCTACCAAGCTGGAGCGTAAAAAGAGCCTAGGAAACAGCAGTAACAGTAATAATAATAATAACAACAATAGCACATCCTCATCTTCATCTTCATCCTCATCCTCATCTTCTCTACCTTCATCATCATCTTCTTCTTCAACTCCATGGTGTCACAACTGTCATACAAGTACAACACCGCTATGGCGACGCAATGAGTTTGGTCAAATTCTGTGCAACGCTTGTGGTCTTTTTTTGAAATTACATGGCCGCTCAAGACCAATTTCACTAAAAACAGATGTCATCAAAAGTCGTAACCGCAACAAGGCTAACCATAATAACAACAATAACAATAATAATAACTCAGATAAAACATCCAATTCTTCCCCACAACACAATGGAGAATCAACGCCAGTAGATGGCCAACATCAGTATCAACAAAATCAACAACAGCAGCAACAACAACATCATCAAACTCATCATAAAAAACCAGGACCTAAACCAAAAAAACGACTTAATAAGGATATCGAGGAACAAGCTGGTAAACCCCACAGAAAAACTTCTGGAGCCAAACGATCGGCTTCTTCAGGCTCTGTCAAAGAAACCTTTTCATCTTCTTCCTCTGAAGCCTCCACAAGAACTCAAAGTCCTAACCAATCTCAACAATCTCAGCAGTCTCAGCAGTCTCAACAATCTCAACATCTCCATAATCATAATCATCACCAACAACAACAACAACAACAACTACCTCCTCTCTTAGCTACTCTTGAACAAAAATCTAAAAAGGGCATTCCTCCAACATCTTTAACTTCAGGCACTTCTCAATCCTTATCCCCACAATCATCAACAGCTCTCCCATCTCTTCGTGCATCAAACATTCTTTCTCCACTACTTTCAAACCCAGTTACAGTTTCAATCAGCAATAGACCTCCAGCATCTCTGCGTGGGTCTATCCATGGAACTCCAATTGCAGATAGTATCATTGCAAACCATTCCTTAAAAGCAATCACAAGTCCTCTTCTCCTGGCTACAGGATCCTCTTTAACGGGGAAACATCCCTCGTTCTCTCCGTTATCAATGTCTTCCTCCTCCTCTTCTTCAAAACACTCCCATCTCTCCTTATCAGCTTCCACTGCTCCTCCTCTCATAACGGCTTCAGCCCTACCAACGGCCCTCGACCAGCTCACAAAAGCTGCATGTACATCCCCATATCTCGCGCCCATCCCTCAGCACAGCTCAGAACTTCGAGAACTTTCTTCTACATCTGCTCTAGGGATTCTCCCAGCCCTTCCATCGTCATCTTCCTCAATATCATCATCATTATCTTCTTCTTCTTCTTCTTCCTCCTCCTCCTCCTCTTCTTCTTCAACAATAACAACAACAACTACTACTTTGGGAATTTCTCAAAAATCCCGTTCCCTAGACTCTCTAAACTACAAATTAACAGCCCCTAATAGACCCTCTGCAAACTCACCAGCCCTGGGCCCCGTGCTGGTCACCTCCCCAGCAGTGACTCCATTATCTCCATCTCTATCTTCAACTAAACCCATTTCTCCTGCCTCTTCTTCTTCTTTAGCAACTGCTTCATCTACCACACCTGGCTCTCAACTCCTATCCCATTCTTTGCATCATAATCCTACCCATGTCCGTAGCCAGCTTTTCGAAAGTGTTTCGGCAAGTGACTCTGTTGCTTCACTATCAAGTGTTGCTGGTCCCACTTCTATTACTATAAAATCTTCTTCATCGTCTAATAAAGACAAAGTCTTATCTGCAAGATCACCGTCTCCACAATCCCATCAAAAAGGCCCCAAATCTATCAAACAAGCTCTTATCGCTGCAGACTTGTTCAAGACCCCGTTGAAAAAATCACAAACAACATCCACTACCACAACATCATTATCAACCGCCGATGAATCGATTTCTGACGAACACAATTCATCGTCATCTTCTGGTTCTGTGTCTTTAGAAACCCGAGTCACAGAACTGGAGCTTGTCAATGATTTAATGCGCGCACGTATTGCTGAGCTTGAAGCTTCTGAGGCACAAGCACGTAAACAAGAGGCAGCCACTCAACGGTCCGAGATTCTAATTCGTGAATCAGAAATGATGCTACGATTAAAAGTACGAGAACTAGAAATGGCAGCTAGAGCTGCAGATACACGTATTAAGATTCTGAGGTCTTATGTTCTTTCTGCAATCCAAAATAATCCATCTGAGACTGGTAAATTGCAACTGGAACAACATTCGGGTAGAAGACACCATAGAAGAGATAGCGATGGAGCGGCAACTGTGGCAGCAGCAGTGGCTTCTGGAACAAACCCAGATGCAGATTTGGCTGAAATGCTTTTGCTGCGATTCCAAAGGTCGTCTTCAACAAGTAGTCCTCCCACGAAAAAAGTCAAAACAGAAATGTAAATTTTTCTTTCTTTCTTTTTTTTTTTTTTTTTTTTTTTTTTGAATATATATTGTTTTATGTTTAGTTTTTAATTGTATCTTTATAAAAAAAAATATTTAAATAAAATAAAAAAAATTAAATAAATAAGAAATAATAAATAAAAATTTCATGATTAAAAAGAAAAAAATAAGATTTAGTTTTTTTTTTTTTTTTTTTTAAAATTAAAATTTTTTTTTCTTTACAATTATATACAAAAAAACATCTATGCACACAAACATTTCTCACATTTTCTTAAACAATAACACTGCCCTTATCAACAAAAGCCCCCTTGTATCCTTCTGCCTTCTCCGCAGAATCAATATCACTAGGAAGCTCCACATTGAGTGGTGTGTAAAGGTACCAAGCCTTAAGAGCATTCACGGCTGCACGAGTTTTGGCTTCCACCAGTGATGCACCTTGGCCTTCTCCAAGTTTGCTAGTACCAGAAAAAACGCCAACAACAAAGAGTGGGTGCGATGAAAAACGACCAGTCTCAACAAGCAATCTCGACACAGGCTGTTCCAGCTGCTCACGAGCACACAATCGTGAAAGTTCACGTGTGGGCTGCTCAAACACAAGCATGGATGCCAAATCAATCTTCTTGGGCTTGATAATGTACGAGTGCACAAATGCCTTGGCTGTGTCGAGGCCACCATGGGAGTACACAGCAGCAACAAGGGCACGTACAAATGTAGCCAGTGCACCATTGCGGCCATGGCTAATTTCGTTGCCAGACAGCAGTTGCAGAACACCATTCTCCTTCTTGGCCACGGTCGGGTTGTATCTTAATTTACCAAAAAGCGAGCGAGTGGTTTCATTGGCGTCATCCTCGGCAAGGTATCGTGCCAGTGCAGACCGTGTGTCTTCCTCCACACCCCATGATAGAGCAAACTCGGCCAGTACACGGGTCGACAGATACAGATCAGTGGTCTGCTGAAGAACGGCTGGAGTCAGGCGTGGGTAAGTCACCATAAAATGTTCGTAAAGATAATAGTTAAGTAGGTTCTTGCCGAACGAAGCCATGCTCAGGTTATCCACGTACTCAGTCTGTGCTGATTGACAAATAAGAGTGCGCGCCAGCGTTTCGAGGGGAACAATGTCCCGCAGCTCCAATCGTGCCTGCAATGCAACTAGCGCAGGTGACTTGGCAGCCTCTGCAGGATCGATAGCCTTCTGCGTGTCTTTGCGCCAGTATGCACCAAAGTCTGTCACATTGTGCGGCACTGTGTACACGCCTGAGTCCCGGCCGGCGGCGGCGGTTTGTGTGGAAGATGATGATGATGATGTAGATGATGTGGATGATGTGCTATTGTGACGAAGACATGTTGTTGTTGTTGTTGTGATGATGGTGGCCTGTCGCGCTGCGGCCCGGCAAGCAACTGTCACAGGTGCAGATCCCGCAACGGCCCGGCGGGCAGCTGAGCTGCTGATGATTCGGACAGTCATTTTAAAAGCGTAAAAGATGCAGGGAAGATGAAAAAAAAAAAAAAAAGAGATGGATTCTGAGTTACTGTGGTTGTCTTGCCTGCTATTTGCTACTACTGATTGTGTGTGTGAATGTGAGCAAATCCCCTTTTTGGGTGGTGGTGAGAACTTCTTGGGGGAGGTGAGGTGGAAAAAATTTTTCAGTGGCAGAAAAAAAAAAAAAAATAAAAAAAATGAAAAAGCGAAGAGTTGACTTTATTGGCTGTTAATAATTCCTTAATATAGACATCACGTGTAAATATTTCTGGTTCACTTGGTTCGGTCATGTGATTGTATAATTAGTACCGGACTCAGGTGTTCGCATGGCGGGATTTCACAGCCAATGGCGCTCCGCTTAATAAAAATTTGGTCAGAGCTGCTGCTACTGCTGCTGTTACTACTAGAAAAATTACAATTAAAAAAAAAAACCTCCGTTTAAACATCACCTTCAAAGGATATCATTAATTCAATCTATCACTACCACTACCACCAAAACTTTTACATCTTCACACTTCACAGAATCTACACAATGGTATGCTACATCTAATACCTTTAGTTTATGCTTTATATCATCTAACTCTGTTATCTTTTCTTTCTTTTTTAGGGCGGCCACAATAACTTCCTTCCTAACGTACGTGTTTCTAGTAATCTTTCTCCTCTTCACTTATAAGATTAAAGATTAAAGACTAACCTAGAATTTTTTTTTTTTTTGTTTATAGCAACCTTGGTCTCCTGCCGGTGGCTGGTTCTTCATCCCCAAGAACGCCAAGTCTAACCTTGCCATTCTTTCACTTGCCACTTTCGCCATTTCCTATGTCGGTTACAAGTTTTCTGAAGCTACCCAGGTCCAGTCTAACACTGAGGTTGATGATGCTACCATTGCACGCTGGAACGCTGCTGCTAAGAAGTCACGCGAAGCTTCTGCTATCGCAAAGGCTGCTGGCAGTGCGTAGAAGGCTTATTGAAAAAAAAAATAATACTCATCATCATCATTTGATTACAACGGAACAGACCAAAAAAAAAAAAAATACTCTAAAAAAAAAACCAATTCACACCCCAAATAATGACACCTTAGGATCTCTTCTTTTTTTTTTCTTTCCTTATAGAATACCAAATTTAGCATGTTACGACTGATGCCCTTTTCTTTTTTTTTTTTTTTTTTTTTTTGTACTTAATAAAATAAAACTTCTTCTTCCCCTTCCGCCCCAATTTCAAATAAATATAAACAAGAAAACTCCCCCCCAAAAAAAAACACTGTAAAGTCTTTAAATAATTTTTTTTCTCGTTTCTATTACTTCCTACTGTCTTTAATCATAAACCAATTGATTATTTTGTATCTCCCGTTGAGCTCGGTTCTCCACACTCGCTTCGTTCAACAATGCCGTCCGTGTCTTCCCCCGTTCAGCTGCCAACTGTTTACTCAACTTCCCTCCACTATTTGCCAGTCTTGCCTCTGCCGCTCGAGCTGCTGCTACCCTAGGGTCATCCTCATTCTCCACCCCACCTTTTCCTGCACTTGCACTTGCACCAGGGCTTGTGCTTGTGCTTGTGCTTGTGCTTGTGCTTGTGTTCGTACTTTGCTGTTGTGTTCCACTGCTACCTAACGTCCGTCCTTGCCCAGAAAACGCACCTTTCGACGGACCACTGCTTTTTGTAGCACCAGAGCCTTTAGGTCCGGGATTTGTACCTGCTCCTTTAGATGCTACACCTGCTCGCGTCCCACTGCTTTGTGTAGCAGTACCCAGTCGTTGGCCCTGCGATGCACTTGTAGACTTATCTTTTGAAAAGCAGGACCCCATGGTAGTATCGAATAGATATTTAACGTGGAATATAAAGTTGCGTGAGTCAGTGTTTGTGTTTGTGTTTGTGTGTGTGTGTGTGGTAGTTTGTATGTGTTTGTGTATATGGGTAAGTGCAATTATAATTATGTGTTAGGGAGTGGGAACAAATGTGTGTATGATAACGTCGTTTAAAAGAGAAAGTCTATACAATATGCATCTTCACGTGGAATAGCCTTACAACACTTAGTCTTGGCCAAAAAAAAAAAAAAAAAAAAAAGGTCTCATTACGATTTTTTCATTACTTTATATACAAAAAAAATTTTATAAAAAAAACAAAAAACATTAAGCAAGGTTATAAATTAGAATAGTTTCAAAATAAGGTCATCAGCTTTCTTTTTTTTTCCCTTCATCCTTCACCTTTTCCCCCCATTTTCCATCACTCTCAATGAACTCCATCATCAATAATAGAGTTGGGTACCTGGAACGGTGTCTTATGAACAAGAGATTCATTATCATATTCAATGTAGTTCTGACTCAGAAGATTCTGCCAAAAGGCCTGTCTGGGATTAAGTCGGTCATTAACAGCAATAGCCTTGTTTGCTCCAAGAATGGCCTGGTCAGAAATCTCGCCACGCTCAAGAGCTTCAGAAAAAACATTAGCAAAAAGCTGCTCGCGAGACTGAGGAAAGCATGCACGTAACAGAGCCAGCAAGTCAAGAGCATCAATATTTGGTCGCGATTCTTTAAGACGTGCCCAGCGGTCCAGAATCAGCTCCTCAGAAACTTGAATATTCTCAAATGAATTTAAAATGATGCGGCATGACACGGCATCTTGTGGCAGGTGGAAAATCTCAAACGCATTAATAATTGTAAAGACAATATCCTGGTCACCCCATGGTTGAACACTCGACAAAACAGTGTTGAGGAAAATGGGACTAATCTCCACTCTAGTTTTGACGTAAAACTGAATAATGTCCTTCAGACGAGTAACAGCTTCAGGTATAGGTGTAGGGTAGGTCTGCATAAAACACTGCAAAAATGTGTGAACAGTAGTATTGAACATCCATTCACCCATAGATCGCGGAATGTTGGCAATATAAGTCTTCCAAACACGTTCAATGTCGTCGAGACGAGTATCTAACTCACTGTTCCAAATGCGCTCCATAAGACGCACGACGGTCGAAGGATGGGTAGAGGCCTTGTATGGGGTTTTGTTTTCAATACCCTCGTAGAAAAAGTTAAGGGCTGTTTGGACATCATCACAGTCACCAACAAAGCGGTCGTGAATACGAGAAAGCGAGTATTGCTCATCGGGGTAATTAGAAAGAACCTGCGTAAACAGACGAAGGGCCTCGTCAATCATATTGTTTTTAATGAGAGTGCCAACCATGGCCTGCTCAAGGTTGGGAGACTCGCCTCCAGTAGCCTTGGATTGCTGGTAAATATCCAAAATCTCTTCAAATGGGGTGTCGGAAGCGTTCATCAAGTCAATAACAGCACCAACGACGTGGGGCTTCCAAACCTCTTGAGCACAAGCCGAAGTCTCAGGGTTGGAAAGAGTGCGCCAAAGAGCAATACCCTCTTCAGGATATTCCATAGTGGCAAATGAGGTAAAAAGATGGATGAGACCCCATGGTGTGCAAGAAACGACACCATGCTCAAGATCGCTAGCAATAGTGAGAATGTGGGCCTTGATTGCGGCTGTTTCGTGAGAAATGTCCTTATGTTCGGACTTTTTCTTGTTGCGTTGTTTACGAGTAATGCGAATGCTGGTATGCAAGCTTTGGAGGAGACGGGCAATGTCGCCTGGCATAAAGGGGTTTGCCGCACGTAACTTCATGTAAATGTCCATAGACTGGTTGAGATCAAAAAGAAGGTTGGATGACCGAATGCGGTTGACCTGGACATACGTGTTAATCTTATCCTTAAACAGGTTGAGATCGTCCTGATACACAGACTTCTTGAGTGAGTGTTGTTTATTATTATTTGATTGTGAAAGGGTTGACTGGAACTGGCGAGAGTTGCTATTGTTAGGATGGGTGCGAGCAGGAGGCACGTTATTGCCGATGGAGATTTTGGGCACGACCGACGAAAACGCTCTAAGCGAGGCTTGTCGCGGAGCAAGTTTAGATAAAAGCATTTTTTTCAGGTTGTAGAGGTTATGGTGCGAATATATTTATATTTATATATATATATATTATATATAGATATATATATATGAGTAAAATATATATATGGAAATGGATGGGTGTTGTTGTTGGTATATATATATATATATAATAAATTACCAGGGTTTGTGTCGCAGCACCAAAATTAAAGGGGGAGAGGAAACACGTTAGGGGAAGGAAGAAAGAAAAAAAGGTGATGAGAAAATTAACATTAAAAAAAATTTTTTATTTTTAATTTTAATTTTTTAATTTTTTAATTTTTTTGTGAGGCTCGTGCGAGCCGCTCCTAGCAACCCGGGAAACCCAAAACCCCGGCAGCCCGCGGAAGGTTTCTACTGGACAGAGCAACACAGCTTTTAAATGCACAAACACAAATGACAACCCAGCACAGACAAACAGCTCGGCCTTACGTAAGACATGGTCACCGATCGGAGTCGACTCGGAGATAAGTCATATGTTTGTCATGTGATATAATTATTGTTATCATGTGACTGTCATGTGATCTATTTTTTATTTTATTTTTTTTTTTTAAACCTCCATTCCTAAAATACCAAACGCGTCAACATTTCAATACCACCAATATCCAACATAATACAAGCCATGTCACAACAATCAGCTGCTTCTTCAATAAAATACTCCCATACTTTATGGTCACCCTCAGATACCATTAGAGATGTTGCTGAAGTTTTAGGAATCTCTAATCTTCCCGATGAAGTGGCAAAATCTCTTGCTATGGAAGTCGAGTACCGTATCCATGAAGTGGTCGAACAAGCCGTCAAGTTTATGCGCCACTCGCGGCGGACCCTGCTCACCACCGCAGATATTGGCAACGCGATGCGGGTCATGAACGTCGAGCCTCTCTACGGCTATGAAACCACACGGTCCCTTAATTACAAGGAGGCCATGGTAGGCCCGGGCCAAACCCTGTACTACATTGATGATGACGATGTAGATTTTGAAAAAATCATCAACCAACCTTTGCCCAAAATCCCCCGCGCTACTAATTTTACTGCCCACTGGCTTGCTATTGAGGGAGTTCAGCCTGCTATTCCACAAAATCCATTACCTTCAGAGGTCAAAGCCATTCCTCCCCAAGTCCGCGGCTCTCAAGTTACCCATTCAGTTTCAGCATTGGCCTCTGATGTTGAAATCAAGCCCCTTGTCAAGCACGTCATTTCCAAGGAACTCCAAATCTACTTTGACAGAGTCGTCGAGGCTCTTCTCCAAGAAGAATCAGAATCAGATAATCCATCTTCTCTCAGAAACATTGCCCTCAACTCTTTACGCAATGACCCAGGTTTACACCAACTTGTTCCATACCTCGTCCAATTTGTTCAAGAACAAATCTCACAAAACTTAAAATCTAGTCTTTCTATTGTCTCCACAATGCTTGAAGTTATCCATGCCATGCTTCAAAACCCTAACATCTTCATTGAACCTTATATCCATCAAATCATGCCCTGTCTCCTCACCCCGCTACTTTCAAAACGCGTTGGTGCTGAATCCAAATCCTCAGACTCAGAAACCTTGGATGAGACTGCCCGCGAAAGTTATGCTGTGAGAGATTTTGCTGCGTCTCTTGTTAGCAGTATTTCCGAAAAGTACAGCGATGTGTACTATAGCTTGAAACCAAGAGTCACACGCACATTGCTCAAGGGTTTTATGGACGTAAACCGCTCAGTACCTTCCTGGTACGGCTCCATTGTGGGAATTCGTGGGCTGGGCCCCGAGGTCGTGCGGGTCGTCATTGTGGGCAACCTCAAAGCTTGGTACCACGGCATTCTGCCCAGGATCCCGTCGCTGGCCGACCAGAAACTGCTCACAATGGCCATCATTGATGCCCTGCGGACTCTCAAGAAACAAGTCCCCACGTTGCTTGCGAGTGAAGACGTGGACGGGTCTCCAATTATTGTACCTCTTTCAGAGGAGGAAAAAACTCAATTGAAGAATCTAGTAGGAGAAAAGTTTTACCAAATCTTGATGATGGAAAAGGATGCCGAGGAGATTGCTCGAGGATTATTGATTTAAGTGGGAATATGTATATTTTATTATAAGTATCTAATAACTAATAACAAAGACGTATATTCTACATCCAATCTTTATGGCGTGTTGTGGAGCTAAGTCGCGCGGAAAAAGACGGTACACTATGTTTCAACAGCCCAGCTATGGCCGCCTCTTCGTCCTTAAATGGATCAGAGCTATCCAAGTCAAGGGCTTGAGCTTTCTTACGACCCGTGGAAAAATCGGTATTTGGTACAACAAAATTATCATCTTCTTCTTCTTCTTCTTCTTCTTCTTCTTCTTCTTCTTCTTCTTCTTCTTCTTCATCTTCATCTTCATCTTCTTTATCTTCATCAATTTTTCCTTCCTCGGCCTTAGTTTGTGTTTTTTCGATCCGCTGCTTTTTGTGTGGCGTGGAGTAGTCCGAGGAGTTTGTCCTAAAGGGATTATAGTCGCGAGACTTCATATCCTTTTGTGGGGTTTCCTTGATAACCATCTCTTCATCATCCAACTTCGACGGACTCGGCCGCATTGTTGTGCGCCGGCGAACCGTCACATTTGTATTATTAAAATGTAAATTAGTCTGTTGTTGCTTCCCCAAATAATGGAGATGCTCAAACCGATCTTCCTCATCGTAATATCGTTTCTTTTCAGGTGTACTTTCAATCACAACCCCTGTACCTTTGGGAGCTTCACTGGCACGCGAGTTTTTCGCCGTTAACTTGGATGTAGTCGTAGTAAAACTGGCTCCAAACTTGCGCTGCTTTGGCTGACAAGCTTGTTGAGCTGTTGATTGTTGGTTATTGCCATCTCCTAAACCCAGCAAAGATGACGACTTTTTACGCCGCACAAATGCAAACTGACGCCGGTCCTCCGTGACCACTTTGGCCGAAGAAAAAAACCCACTTCTGCGACGCACTGCCGCTGCCGCTGCCGCCGCTGCTGTTGCTGCTGTGGCTGTTGATGCTGATGCTGATGAACCATTTCCTGGCTCTGCAAACGAACTGTTAGCTGATGAAGCAGGAACTGGTGATTCGCCCCGCGATGAAGATAATGCAGGACTGTTGGCAACACTTATGCCACCGTCAAATGAGTGGTCCAACGAGCTTGCGGCTGCAGCTGCCATCATAGACACGGATCGTGATAAACTCTTTTTGCGAGTAGCTGACATTCCATTGCTGCCGCATGCCATTTCCTCGAGACGCAGTTGTAATTGTAATGACGAAGCTGGGCCAGCTACAGACCCCGGGGCTCCCAGTTGTACACCAATAAAACTTGAGTTACCTCTAGCAAGTTGTTCAGCACCCATTGGCGGCGGAGTCCCTGAGCGTGACAACCCAGTACCCGGGCCAGCCCGTGACTGTCTGCGAGAAGCTGTTGACGATCCTGTAGTAGACCGGTGCCCGCTTATTCCCTTTGCCGTTTTGATGAATGCCCGGCACTTTTCGCGCAGCCGTGCACTGAAAAACGGCAATACAACTTCACGGCAAAACTCCTGGGCCTTGTCGGCCTCTGCAGCGGCTTGCGCCGGAGTTTTAAGGCGAAACGACGACACAGCTATTGAAGCAGCTGCTGCTGATCCTGAAGAAGACGTGATAAAAGACGAATGTCGACGACTCGAGGTCAAGCCGGAACTGGTTTGTAGGTTGCTGCTGCTGCTGTTGTTGTTGTTGTTGTTGTTGATGTTACTACTGCTGCCCAGTAAATCCGAAACGGGCTCTGGTGCAATGGCCTGCCAGATACACAGCCGGTCAAACAAAATGTCGGCAACCGCGTCCCATTCCTTTTTTTGTGTTCCCCGGAAAATCCTTCTTCCTTTAGCGTAAAGAAAATCCGTGTCTTTCTCATCGTCATCCGTTTCCCCATCATAAACATCCCCTGTTTTCTGGCCATTGTTATTAATAATCTCGCTAGAGTCATCGTCATCTTCGTACCGTGATGTAAACAAAACGGGCCGACTGTATCCCGACGAAAACGAGTCTTGTTGCTGGGCTTTTGCAGCAGCTGCAGGTCCAATTGCCAGTCGCCGTTTCTTTTTCTTTTTCTTATTTTTCTTGCTTGTTTTCCCTCTATTTTCATCCTGTTCATTGTTGTTACCTCGCAGCTCAGTGTAAACCTGGTAAAGTGCCAAAATTTCAAGTACCACAATTAGCTGCAATTGGATTTCACGGACCTTGAGCAAATCAACCAGAGACTCTAACGTTGTTTCTTTTTCATCTGAATCTTCCATTGGAGTTCCAGCCCTGATATTGTGGGGGTGGCCAGTACCTTTATTAAATGTATCAGGATGATGGGCAATTGCACTCTTTTTCCAGTACTTGAAACATTTGAGTTCCAGCTCTTCATATGCACTAGCTGCAAACTGATCAAATCCATTATCTGTCCGGTAATCAAGTGCTTCTAAGGCTTGAGAAAAATTTTGGCGTTCGTACTTGGAATCCAAATCATGCAGATCCATAAGCATGGTTGTGAGCACTGGAACTAACACCTCAATGCCGGCAAGAGTAATTTTTTGTATTTCAAGGTCTTGCTCGAGTATAGGCTTATTAATATCAATGTTGCAAACGGCACGAGCACGGGACAAAGTGGATTTGGCAAAGTATGAGATGGGAGTTTTGGAAATGTAGAGCGACTCGTAATACTTTTGCTTGACGTACTGGCCAATGTTTTTTGTGGTCAACTGTGTCTCGTGTTTACGTGGAGCATGTACAGGAGGAACACTGACATGTGAATGCTGTTGTGGAGGAGCCTGTTGAAGGGGTTTCACTGGAGAGTTTGGTGGGGTTAACAAAAGAGTATGCTGAGACTTTCTAGGTTTGCTGGAGATAGGATCGACTGTACATGATTGTGCAAGAGCCCCCATAAATGCGGATGCCGAAAGATGGGGGAGACTTAGTGTCTGTGATAAGACTCCCTTTTGCTGGCCTTTTTGATCATGAGTATGATCAAACGATGGCAAGCTACGGATATCTTTCATGGAGACATTTTTGTGAAGTCTTATTATGGACCATACGGACGCGTGGACATGTGCAACCAACACAATGCTTACTTTTTTCGATTTGGGTGACGCGAGTTTGGCAAAGACGATTACCGGACACCCCATGGAATCATAAGGAGTATTGAACATTTCTGCATAAGGACACGGATCTGAAGATGAGTACGGGTTGTGTGGAAGAGAGAGAATAAATGGTCGAGAAAGAGAAGGATTGTTTTCGAGTTGAAGAGCGAAATAGGACCATGGAATGTTTGAGCGTATAACTCGTTTGATAGGGACTAAAGTGACTGGAAGTCCTGAGGAGTCTCCATTTTCAGGCTAAGAAAAAAAAAAGGGATTTGTTAGAAAAAAAAAAAAAGTTGATAAAGAAGATATATTAAGATAAAAAGAAGAAAAAAGACTTACGAAGATTTCAATGCCGGTTTTTTTCATAACAACCGACATTTTGGGTTTTTTTTTTTTTTTTCTATGGAGGATCAAAAAAAAAAAAGTAAACAGTTGGAGAGACCCAGTTGCCAAATGAGAGGTGAATTTTTTTTTTTTTTTCTTAAAAGTAGATGTGAACGAGAAAAAAAAAAAATAAATTAATAATAAGAATAACGCGTTTGTTACGCGATAATTACGCGTTTTTGTCATGTGACTTGTGTGTATAAAATATATCAAGAAAGCGCAGTTGTAATTTACAGGCATTTTTTTTTTATGGATGGTCTTAATACAGGTTTGTAAAGTACAGAAGCAAAATAAATAGTAAATTTAACATCCAAATTACTGTTTTTTTTTTAAATATGAAAAGCTTATGAGTATAAGATTCTCATTTTATATAATATAAAAAGTGAAAGGTTAAGTGCTTTAGTAAAACTTGCAAAGCTGTCGTTATCATACACACATATATATATAGTCAGTAACTTGTCCGATTTTGATCTTTATTTTTGAACTTCCATCTTTAATTTATCAAAAATAATCACTATTAAAACTGTTTCAATAACAATAATAACAATATATGATCGCAATCCCTTTCCTTTTTTCTTTTGCACTTTTATTGTTTATCTTTTTTATTTTTGTCCAGAATGTGATCACACAATTGTAGCAGCCGCACTCAATATTTCCCTAAACCCAAATACAGTCAAAGTACCCACAATATATTGTTTGTTAAGCAAACTTTACAATTTAAACAAAAAAAAGAAAAAAAACGCGTAGGATGAAAAGCTTAGCTTTATTATAATAGTAGATAAAGATTGTCTTTTAACACTTTTCAAAAGATAATAAAAGAGAGAGAAATATATAGATAATTGCAAAAACCAAAGAAACCAATCATTTTTAAATAAATAGTCCATTATATACATTAAGATAAAAAAAAAAGCACCCCCTTCTGGAACCAGTCTATATATTATCTCTAAAGAAAAATAAATGCTCATAAACAAGTAAGTGTGTAAATAGAACATCTTAAACAAATCACTCATAAACTTGAGAGTTCTCCACAGCTTTTATCATTAATCCTTCTTCTTGTCAAGAGGCTTGAGGATATCGCCGTACTCCGAAGGCTCGTCTTTAGTAGCCTGCATGAGCTCGTAAAGCTGGACAAGCTGTTCGTCGCTCATCTTGGACAGTTTTTCCATGTCTAATTTATCTTGTTTCCAAGTATCACCTTCTATCGATTCAGCGTATTTCTATTTTTTTTTTAAAAAAAAAAAAAAAAAAAAAAGAAATAGAGTAAGAATTATGATTCAAATAAGTTTTTTATTTTTTTTTTAACAACATACCTGCCATTGGGTCAGGAACCCCACAATATAAAGAGGATTGTCAATATCCTTGTGTGCCCTAAACTCTGACTTGACATATTCATCACCTAGGTATCGCACATCTGGTGGTAGCTTTCTGTGAGCTCTTAACACACGTCGGAACAGTGGCAGTGGTGGCAGGATTGGTGAGACGGGTTTAATGTGTCTGCGGGTAGCATTCAAGACAAGTGTAAGTTTCATTTTTCTTTATATATGAATGAAAATTTTGATTGTCTGGTATCAAATGGGATATTAAAGTATGCTTATTATTATTATTTTATTTTTTTTTTTTTGGGGGGGGGATAGATATTAAAGAATTGGACTTTAGTATCTGGGGTATTGATAGATGAGTATGTTTTATAACCCAAAATGAATTTAATGGTGGTAGTGAAAAAAAAAAAAAAAGGTATTTGACGTAGTTGTTTTTTACTTAATTAATTCACGGGAGCAAAAAAAAAAAAAATAAAAATAAATAAAAAAAAATTTCCCTGTTTGGTGGCGTGAAACTCGGCGAAATCTACCCGTTTAATATTCTTTTCGAGACCGAGAAGAAAGTTGCATCAAACTAGCGAATAGAAAAGGAAGGCTTATTAATGAAATTTATTTTATTTTACTTTATTTTATTTTATTTTATTTTAATATATTTTGTGTATGTTCACTCTGTCTCAATTAATTTTTTTTTCGGCCCCATATTAATTAAAACTTGATAATATTAATAATAATAATAATTAAACAGTTTTGAATCAAAGAAATTAATCGCTCATTTGGTGGTTCCTTGACTTCCTTATGTTGGTTCAAGAACCTCTTCCAGAATATAAATAAATTTAGGAAAAGAAAGGGGGGGGATAGAGAGAGCAAAAAAATTAAATGTAGTAGTTTTAATAAACCTGGGGAAGAAGAAAAAAAAAAAAAAAAAAAAAAGAAGAGGAAGAAGGACCGTTGAGAATTAAATGGTGATATTCAATTGATGATTAAACCTTTATTTAATAATAATTACTATTAAGTAGCCTTGAATGATTTGATGGTTATAACTATGGATCGAGATTTAGAAAATTAAATCAATTTTTTACAACAATATTTTTTTTTGTTTATTTATTTTGTTTTTTGTTAATTTAATTTAATTTAATTTTAATTAAATTTCAAACTTCTATCAATTATTTGTAAACATTTTATTTAAGATTCTTTTTTTTTATTATTATTTTTTGAATAAATATGATATAGTATTAAGCAGCAAGATCTGATCCACCAGCAAAAAAAAAAAAAAAAAGAGAAGACATTTTATTTTTCAAATCATATAGTTATTAATATATTCCTACAACTTAAGTTTAGAATTTTTTTTTAATTTTTTTTTTTTTTTTTTTTGCTCTTTGAATATTTTCACCAATTTTTTTTTTTTTTTCTTTTGCCCAAATAATAAAAAATAAAATAAATCAATAAATCAATGAATGAATAGCCAGTGAAATCACACCGGTTACCCGGACCATTCCAGAAGTTACTTATTAGCTGTAGATTACGGGCCGCTCACTACCAAATACGGTAATAAATTAATACATGCGGCCGCTGTTGCATTTAACTAAGATTTTTGTGATGATGATATATTACAAAAGTAATTAGACATAAACACCTATTATATATGAAAGTTTGTCACGCGGGAATTGGGTATATATATATATGTATGGAGAAACGTTCTTTTTAAGGACTTTCCCCAGGGGGGAAGAGGAAGGGAAAAAAAATTAAAAAAAAATAAAAAAGAAGGGAATTATTATATTTGATTTGTGTGTTGTTGTTGTTGTGACAATTTAAAATCATTTTTGCTGCAAATTTAGGATCTAAAAAGGCTGTTTGGGAAGTATTTTTTTTTTTTGAGTATATGTAAGTGCATAAAAACGTAGGCCATTTAATCAAATTTTGAAAAATATATATATATATAGTGGAGACTCTCGGGAATGCTAGGCTTTAAAAGGGAATCAAAGGATAACAGTTTGAAGTGTTTTATTATAATAATAATTATTAATAATATTACATAGATAGGAAGAAATAAATAAATAAAAGGAAGTAAAGGATATATATATATATATAAATATTTCAAGAGAGAATGTTTATTGGTTAAAGATTTCATTTTTAAATTGTTCAAATGACAACTAATTAAACATTGATGAAATCCCCAGATATATCAAAATATCCCTGAAAAAAAAAAAAAAAAAAAAAAAAAAGAGTTGACAGTTATGTCATGCCGCAAGAAGAACTCAAGCGGCTTTCCCTGTATTTATTAAGAGATCAACAATTATCAGTTTCAAATAAGTATTAATTAGACGACATGTTAAAAGAGAGAGAGAATTAAAATTAGGATTGATAGAAAAGGTGTGAATAAGTAAATAAATAAATAAATAAAAATGACAGTAAAAGTCAATATTGAAAAAAAAAAAAAAAAAAAAAAAAAAAGATTTCTTTCATACACTACAAGTCAATAGGAGAATCTCAAAATGTGATTGGATTTAAGGCTGAGTGGTGAAAAAGTTTTTAGTGTTGAAAGTGAAAAATATTACCTCAGCAAATATAAAAAATGACGTAAGACAGAGACAAATTAAATTAAATCAAGAAATTTTTTTTTTTAAGTTATGTTTTTTGTATATAAATGTACCCGAGAGGTCCCGTCAGGTATTAAAAGGATGATGATGATAATGATGATAATAATGATGAATTAAAATAAAAATTTAGATTGAGAAAAAAAAATATGGATTATATTAAGATGTAATAAATAGATATGAAGTTGAAAATAAAATAAGAAAACAATTTTTTTTTTGTTTGAAATAAAGTTTATATATATATATGAAAACGTTTAGATCAAATAAAAAAAAAAAAAGATTGATTTTATTTTGCCACAATAATAAAAGTAAAATGTTGTCACATAAAATAAAAGAATTAATCGATTAGAATAAAATGATATATATTGATGATTCAAGATTTACAATTAATATATATATATATACTGATTGAAGATTTAGAAAAAAAATGATTGATTCATTATAATTAAATATATATAAATATATATATATATCTTTTATTTGCCACCTTTATGAGAAAAAATCTCATCAACTCTTTTTTTTTTTATTTATTTTTTGTGTAATAAAAATAAAAATACTTTTTAATCATTTTATTTCACATATATTTCAATCATTTAATTATTTAATCATTTTTAAATAAATAGTTGTTACAAAAAGTGGCCACCCTGTATGTAACATCTGGCCACCATTATTATTATTACAACACACACAGATCGAACAAAAAAGGGCTTTTTTTTAATATGAGTTTTAAATAAATTAATAAAAAAAAATTTAATTACCACCACCAAATACACACACACAACAACAATAATATTAAATATATTAAATATATTTAATTAATATATTTAATTAATATAATAATAATAAAAAATTTAACCCACCACATAAAAAAAATTTTTTTTTTCTTGTTTTGTGTTGTAAAAAAAATTCAAAATTTATTTTTTTTTTTTTTTTTGAGAAATTTTTTTAATTTTTTTTTTTTTTTTTTTTTTGTTTCTTTTACTTTCTTACTATTTGATCTTCTTTTTTTTTTTTTTCATCAATCCATCCATCCATCAATCCATCAATCCATCCTACCTTTTTTATCTTCTTTCTCTCTCATCTATTCTCTCATAAACCAGCAAACTTTTTTCTTCAACTTTTTTTTTTTAAAGAAAGAAAAATAAAAAAAAAATAAAAAAAAAAGGCCATCTTTTTTTTCTGTTTGTCTTGTGTTTGTTGTTGTCTTTTCATTTTTTTTTTTTCAAATCAACAGATTCAAAATATAAAAAGCTTTCTCATTTTGACCTTTCAACTTTCTTCTATATATTGAAAATCTCTCTAATAGCACTTGTTTGATTGTTTGATTGTTTGATTGTTTTTATATTTATATACAAATCATCAATCTTTCATATATATATATTTATACCAACCAACAAGTCCTCTTTATTTTTTTTTTTTTTTGTCAATTAAAGAAAAAAAATTTTTTCTTCTTCTTATAAACCTTCTCTTCCACCACCACCACCACCCACCCAACCCCCTTATAAAAAAAAAAAATTCCTTTCTCATCAAATTTCATTTCACAACCACCCCTTAATTTTTTTTTTTATTCTACTTCTATCATAGCCTAGGCAAATAAAAAAATGTCTTCTGCACCTGTATCTTACGCTGCAGTTGCTGCTAAGGACTCTAAGGAGCCCTCTTCTTCTTCTTCTTCTTCTTCTTCTCCTTCTTCACCTGCTGTTACTCCTGTAACAACAAACCTTGCTGCTCCTTCTGCTGCTTCTCTGGATGCCTCTGAGGCCTCTACTACTACTACTACTACTACTACTACTACTACTACTACAGAAACCACCGCTACTTCCGTTGATGTAACTGCCACTTCTACCGCAGATGAATCATCAACTGAATCTCCATCCCAAGATACCCAATCACAGACTCCTGAATCGTCTGTTGAAACTTCTGCTGAAGCTTCTTCTTCCACAACTACTACTACTACTTCCGATCCCACAACAGATGCCTCTCCTGAATCTGAAGCCTCGGATGAAACCACCTCACAAACCAATCCATCGGATTCCCAGGATGCCATCCCAAGTATAACTAAGGACAAGGCTGCTGTCTTGACCCCAGCCCCTGTCCCAAAAGTCAACGTTTGGAAAGTTAGACAAGAAACTCTATCTAAACCTTTGGATGATCGGTCCGCAGATGAAGCCAACCAGTCATCCTCCTCAGCCCCTCAAAGTGCAGAAAACTCTGCCACTTCTACTCCATTGCCACAATCACAATCTCCTCTCATTGCAGCACAAGGCGATTTGCCATTTGATCCCGTTTCTTGGCCAAAGCCAGACGAAACCCCCTCCACCTCAGAGAAGAAGGAACCTGGAGCACCAGCTTCTCCCGTTCCTGCTCCTGTCCCCTCTTCTAAGACTAGAGGTGGCAAAGAAAAGTGGATCCCTCTGAATATTCAACCTTCATCTTCAAAACCTAGAGGCAATAAAAACTCCCGCTCAGGTAACACCAAGAACTCACACAATAACAATCACAATAACAACAACAATGCCAGCAATAATAATACCAATAATAATAACAACAACAACAACAACAACAACACATCTGCCATTACCTCTTCTTCAAATAACACTCAGCCTCAGTCTGCTTCTAATGCTGCCCCTTCTTCTTCCTCTTCTTCTTCTACAAATTCCACCCCTGCATCCGCTACTTCTGCCGGCTCAGCCAATGGCAGCGCTCCTCAAGGATCCGGCTTCTCTAAAAACCGAAGTAGTAAATCTTTTAACAAAAACTCCCAAGGCGGGAAGCGATCCGCTGATTCTAAATCAAGCGCAGCAACAAAGTCCCAATCTTCAGCATTCTCCACATCCCAAGCCTCTTCTAACGGCTCCCAGTCTCGCTCCGAGACTTCTACCGCCGATGCTGGCGCCTCTTCTCCTTCTATTAAGAAGTCCTCCTCTGCTGCTGCTGCTGCTTCAGCTGCTGCTGCTTCAGCTGCTGCGTCCTCTACTGCTGCTTCTACTAATCTGACATCTTCCAAGCCCACCGGTGGGCCCAAGAAGAGCCGCGGTCCTTTTAACAATAACTATGCCCATGCTGCTGATAATCACGATGGATCATCCTCCAACTTTGGAGGTGCTAACCACCACCATGCTCCCAATGGTTTCCATGGCAACAATAGTAACCACCACTCTCACTCCCACTCTCACTCTCATGCCAACGGCCACAGTGGTCACCACTCCCATAGAAGCAACAATGCCGGTAACGCTACCGGTGGTGCCAACGGTAACTCTAACGGTGGCGCCAATGGCAAATACAACAACTCCCAATACGCCGGTAACTCTTACAGCACTAGACGGGCGCATGGCGGTCCATACATTCCCAAGTTTTATGTCAATGAGTACAGCTATGGCCAACCCTATTCTGGCAATATAATTCCTCCCACTTATGAGGCTACCATTCAGCTCGTTGTTGCTCAGATTGAGTACTACCTTTCCGTTGAAAACTTGTGCAAGGATATCCATCTGAGAAAAAACATGAACTCTCAAGGTTGGATCCCACTGCCGCTCTTGGCCAGTTTCAACAGAATCAGATACTTGTCACATGGTGATTACAACCTTGTTGTTGATGCTTGCAAGTCTCTTACTAACTCTGAGTTCAATGGTACCAAGGTCCGCCCTAAGGTTTGGGAACACTGGGTTTTCCCCGTTGAGGAACGTCTTGCTGATGGCTGTGATGAAGAAAGCAACCCTGCTCTTCCTCCTGTTGTCCGTGCTCCTGTTACCCCTGAGGGTCCTAAGCTTGTCTTTAATGCTGCCGAGGCTGTTCCTTTTATCCCCAAGTCTGAGGCTGCTACTGCTGCTGTTGCTGCTGCTACTGCCGCTTCTACTGCTACTGCTGAGAAGCCTGCTGAATCCAAATAAAATCAGCTAGCTAGCATTTGTGTGTGATTGTGTGTGGATGTTTGCGTGTGTATATATTATGATGATTACCCTAACTTGTGAATCGAGATATGAAATATATGGTTGGTTTTTTTTTCTTTCATATCTTGATTCACTTTCCTTCCTCTTTCTCTCCCTTTCTCTCCCCTCTGTTGACATCTCACACAAGTTATTTTTTTTTTTTACGATTGTTGTTTTTTTTTTCTTCACCCTTTTTTTCTTCTTTCCATCTTAAAAGTATGTTTATTATTTGACGGCGCCTAAGTTCGTTCTTTTTTTTTTCAACATTAGCTTTATTATTATTATTATTACACCAACATTAAAAGCTTTTTATTCTTTTTTTTTTTTTTATTTGATCTTTTTGGGAAATATGATTGATTTTAATTAAATATTTTTCAAAAAAGGAAAAATAAAAAATAAAATAAAAAAAATAAAAATAAAACAACAAAATTTAACTTAAAAAAAAAATTTTCAAAAAAAAAAAATAACGAAAAAACAAAAATTTCATTTAAAAAAATTGAAAAAAAAAATTTTTTATTCTTTTTTTAAAACCATATATTTATATTTATAAAAAAAAAAAAACTTGTTGATATAATATATATATATATATAAATAATTTTTTTTTCTTTTTTTTTTTTTTTTCTCTCTTAAATATATTTAAAATATATTTTTATAAATAAAATTATTATTCAATTTTAATATATATAAAACAAATTTTGTAAAATATTTATATAAAAATTTATTATTATTATTATTATTTTGTGACATTATTTTTTTTTTTTTTATTTATTGGCATAATCAACCGGCAACTTTTTCAAAAAAAAATTTTTTTTCAAAATTTTTTTATTTTATGGGTCTTAAATTACTTGTTTAGGTTTATTAATAAGAATACTTTATGTAGGGTAACTTTTTTTCTATTTAAACCCTTACCTTCCTTCACATACCGCTCACCTTCTTTAATTATTAATTTTTCACTTGTTAATTATTAATAAAAAATATTAAATAATTACATAATCTTAACTAGTTATATAAGTTTTTTTTTTTTTTCATTTTTATTTTCTTTTTCATTATTAGATATCTTAAATATTTTATCTATAATCCTCTTTTTTTTTTTATATTTTTATTTTATTTTATTTTGGTTAATTTAAATTGATACCATTTTTTTTTGTTAAAAAAAAAAAAATAAAAAAAAAGATATATATATATAAAAAATAAAAAAGGACTTAACCCCACAAAAAAAAAAAAAAAAAAATACCCGTTGGTAGGTTGGTTGGTAAATATGCATTTAATAACTGTAAGAAAAGTTTCTTTTTTTTTTTAAAAAAAATATATATATATATTTTCACATTAATAAAAACCTCCTCCCCTACCCCACAAAGAATCAAAACAAAATTCAAATAATTGAGAAATGAAAAGAAACGAAAAAGAAATATATATATATATATATATATATGATTAGTCAGAGAGAAGTCAATTGATATTATTTAATCAATTGTTCATTATTATTAATAAATAAATATATATATATATTAAAAAAAAAAAAAAAAAAAAAAAAAAAACTGAAAATGGTTGAAGTTAATTATTCAAATAATTCTAAGAAGTTAACCTTAAAAGCTGTGAATTATTCATACAATCTCTTTAAAATAATAATTCAATTGACTTAACTGCGTGTTACATGAAATAATATATATATATATATGTATATATAAGAGTTTAGAATAAAAACATGGCCTTTTAAAATAAATATTACAAAAAAAAAAAAAATTCAATCAATGCAATCAATTAAATCCAGTTAAACTTGATTCTAAGCTTCTAACATTACTAAAATAACTCTTGCTTTGTCTTTTTATTTTATTTTATTTAATTTTTATTTTATTTTTTTTAAAATGGTTTCCATACAAAGACTTTGATACTTTGATTGTTTATTTATTTATTTATTTATTGATTTTTTTTTTCTTTCATCTCCGTCGGCTTATTATCATAAAGTGTTTGGTTTTTACATTTATATTTAATTCAAACAAAATTATTTAAATTTAACTATAAGGCTTTTATTTCAATTCAAATGATGATGAAAAAGTAACTTGTTTATTTATTTAATTTTTTTTTTTTTTAAAATAAAAATTTCTTCTTGTAATTTATTTATTTCTCTATAGCTTATTCAATATATAAAACTGGCTTTCATATTTTAAAAACAATTAAACTTATTCAATATTTAGATTTTTTGAATTTTTTTTTTTTAAAATCTTCAGCACGTCATATTGTTGCAATTTTATTTTATTTCATTTTTTGTTGGCTCGATTACATTTTCCACTAAATAGAACTTGAAAATATTCCTTGAAAAAAAAAATTAAAAAAAAAAATTAAAAAAAAATTAAAAAAAAAATTAAAAAAAAAATTGAACTGCCAAGTCTATCATACGGCATCACATACTATTCTCTCCTTCTAAAAAAAAATATAAGTCCAAATCAGCAAGCTTTAGAGTGGTTTTGTTTTGTTTGTTTGTTTGTTTGATTTGTTTGATTTATTTATCGTAGAGTGGGGGGAGGAGAGACAAAAAAAAAAAAAAAGAAAAACAATTGAAGTGCACCTTTGCGTGGTGAATTTTTAATTACAGCATATCTCCACGGGATAAAAAAGATTTAACAATAAAAAAAATAAAAAATAATAATAATAATAAAAACTGAGGTCTTCCAAAGACGAAACCCACTGGAGAGATTTTTTTTTAGATAAGAATTAATTAATTAATTAATTGATTGATTGATTAATTGATTAATTGCATTCTTTAAAAATGGATTAGAAAAAAAATAGAAAAGGTTAAGAATTTAAACTTATTTTAAAGAACAAAAGATAAGCATATATATATACCAAAGATAAAAGTTTACAAAGACAGGAGCGATATGTCAAATATCTCCATGTTAGTTCATATAATATTAATCTGCTTATCTTGATAAATTCTAAACTATGCAACTATCTTATATACATCTACTCCATCTTTACAAACATTTATTAAAAAAAAATAATTTATACAGGCATTACTTGATCTTAAAAAAAAAAAACTATTTACAAGTGATTATTTACAAGCTATTCTCTCTATTGACTTACCAAAGAAACAAACCACTAACATTTGCTTAAATATTGCTACTAAATCATACTTATTCTATACTTATTAGCACTATAATACCTCATCAAATACATTACTCAGATGGTATTTGGATTGTTTGTATATAATTGAAAAGAGCAACAATAACTAAAATGACAATATATATATATATATATATATATATAAATTTGATTAACCAGAATTAGTTTAATTATAGCTTCAATTAATGTCAAAAGAGTATTTGAAAGCAAAGCGAAACTAACTTTATGGTTCTTTCTTACCTTGTATTATTTGTTTCTTCGTTTGTTACATTACAATTATACACCTCTATGTCTACCATAGTGCTTATTTATATTTCAAATATAGATCTCTCAAACATACGAGGGGATTCCTAAGTCCTGAGATTCAATCAGTCTAAATGACTGCTATAGTTCATTTAGATTTCTTCTTATCAAACTTTTTATTTTATTTAATTTAATTTTTTTTGTTTTTCAAGGTTGAATTAGCAATCGCATGGAACTTTTGTGTTTGTAATAAAAAATAGAGTATGTTCATACATATCTATGACCATTTCATCGACTTGAATTTTTTTTTTTTTTTTTTTTTGCAATACTTTCTACTTTGACCAAAATCTATAATTTAATCAGTTATATAATAATAAAATAAAAAAAGAAAAAAAATAAAAGTTTGATTTGTTACGATAATGAAGAACAAGCTACCTATTGGAGCATTTAAAAAAGAAAATGAGAATGGATGAACGGAATGCCAAGATAGAGAGAGAGAGAGAGAGGGTGTGAAAAATGATGAAAACTTGAAACAAGAAAAAAAAAACAAGAACTGCCTATTAAGAATCTAAAATCAAAAGTTTTTGAAATGAGTAAAAAAATATAAAAAAATTTAGTATATAGGTAAAAAAAGTTTTTTTTTTTTCATTCTAGGAAGAATGGTTTATTAAACTAGACTGACTACAAAGTTGATTTATTAATCAAACAAGGAAGTATTCTTCTTTTGCACCTTTTTAACTTCTCCTTTTTCATAGAACCAAAATTATATATATATAATAAATATAGATGTGGGATTTAAGCAAAATGTGATTGAAGTGGGTTATAATAAAAAATTATTTTTATTCTTGGTGCTCCAAGTTATTTTCGGTATGATGATTAAACATGAACAAAAAACAAAAAAAAAAATGCTTGGAATTAAAAAGACCATCAGATTATGTTAATTCGCACGATATTTTTTTTTTGGCCAACTGTTATTTTTTTTTGTTTAATAATCTTGTTAGTCATGAGGTATTTGCTTGTTTAATTTTGGGTATAAACGGTTAGATTCACCCTTTTTTTTTTCCACATAAAGGAAAAAGATGAAGAATGTAAAGATTAATTATTAAGAATAAAAAAAAAATAACATTGACAATAACTATTGTGCATCAAAAAAAAAAAAAAAACATAACTTTTTTTTTTTAAAATATGCCATGTTTTTATTTTTAATTAATGTCAATGTCAGGGTTTATAATAACATTAATATTCTAAACTTTTTCTTTCCCCATTTTTAATATAACCCCATTATTAATCCCCATTTTTTTATTTGTTTATGTGTACCTTTACTCTATTTTCTTTCTGTTTCTCTCTCCTCACCTCCATGATTTCTTCATCTTTTTTCCGCGCGTGTACCAGGACCAAATTAAGGGGAAAATATACAGGGTCGGGTATGTGTGTGTGTGAGAGTGAGAGTGATATGAATGCGTAAGCAAGAGAGTCTATGACGTTAAATTTTCTTATTTATACAAAAATAATTATTTTGACAGCTATCCGAAAATGGCAGAGAAGTTATGTGCTCATTTCTTTTAGGATTCAAACTTTGATAAACTCTTTGAAACCTATTCTCAGAAACTGGAGTTGCCTCGAATAGTAGATAAAATTTTTTTTTTTTTTTTTTTTTTTTTTTTCAAAAGCCATTTGCGCGGGCCGACAAAACTCCATTCCCGATGCAGTTTTTGCTCAGTATGCATTGATGTTTATGATAAATATAAATACATGTATATATATATGTATTAGCCAGTAGCTGCGTGTTTTCATTTGCAGCCAAATGCCCGCATATTATGTGATTGTTGGATATCATCATGTTTGAATTATGGCCAATAGGGAGGGATCATTTGAAGACGCCGAAAAAGATTAAGAAGAAGAAAAAGAAGAAGAAGAAAAAAAAAACAAAGTGGGAATTTATTTAAATGGAAAATCGACCTGGAATAAAAGAACGTAACTCACCAAGGCAAGTTTGTTATTTTGGTGATGGTATACATTTTTTTTAAAACGGTACATTGAAATACCACACTATTACGCATCCTAAAGTATTGTGTTTATTTAACAATATTGAGGACCAAAATAAAAGAAAAAAAAGAAACCCTGATGTAATAAATAAATAAAAACAAGATAAAATAGTTAAATATAATACTATATATATACAATTGAATATTGTACTTATCATTTTCTTCATTGCTAAAATTCATGATATTGACCTCCTTTATAGTTAAAGTGACTTGTTTGGCTTACAATATTTTAACTTTATTTTTTTTTTCTTCTTTATAATTTGCTTAAAAAAATATGTTCGTTAAATTTTGAACTCCTTTAATGTAGTTTTGAAAACGTGCACGGAACAACCTAGCTCTGTGTGGTTTTCTCTTCCTCCACTCTGTATCCTTGATACTTTTTTTTCTTCTTTCTTTCTTCCTTTTTAAGCAGTTGACGAAGAAGTTTATTAAAGGTCTTAGTCAACTTAAGCCATGTATGATTTATGAAGAAATTATATTAATGGATAATAAACTAGATATAGTTAAGGTCTGGGGTTTTAGGGAAATATATACCAAGAGAAGAAAAAATGAACGAGATTATTGGAGTTTGTAGTAATTTGGATGAATAAAAAAGATAATAATAATATACTTTATTAAAAACAAATCTAATATAGTTATCGGATTGATATATATATAAGGTTGAAAAATAAAGAAAAAAAAATCAAAATAAAAGGAAGGTATGGAATTATTTATTCTGTTTTAAACAAGAAAATTAAAAGATCAAGCTACTTCAGCAAAAGAGGGTTATTTTGACCCGAAAGTTTAAGACAAAAGAGAGAGAAAAAAAAGGATCGGCATATAGAACATGAGAATAGAACTAAAATGTCATCGCCAAAAATAATTTTATTTAGAAAAAAAAAAGTAATAAGACCACAAATATTAAATGACAAAGAAAAAAAAACTCAAAGTCGCAATTAAAATTTATTTATTTATTTATTTATTGTTTTTTATTCCTTCAAAGTATCTATTCTCATACATAGTTCATTTGAAATCACCACGGACTTCTCCATTAAACTATTCATCCATGTCATGTACTAGTTGAAAATACAATCTGGGCATCATGTATGCCCAGTATTATTATAGTCGTTATTGAAGAATTTCTTTTTTTTATTTTAATTTTTGAGAGAACCAAGGTCTTAGATGAAAAATAAAAAAATAAAAAACTATGTGCAATGTGTTCAAAATATTTCTTCCCTCCCCCTTTTCAGTTTATAAGATACCAAGTTTAGAAGACATATATAAACTACATGCACATATAAAAGAAAGTAAATATTAACAATGATTTTTTTAAGTGTCATTTAAAAACATTAAATGCTGTATGTTTAACATTTTAAAAAAAAAAACTTTTTTTTAAAAAAACAAAATATTCCTTCTTTAGAATATCTCGTTTATTTGATATCATCAATTGCTATTAATATTAAATATTCTACTCCAAAAAAAAAAAAGTCACTCTGCAAGTCGTTGTTTCTTGTTATTTATTAAAATGTTAAAATGATGTGAAAACTTTGTCCCCTTTTTTATTTTTTTTATAAACTCACGTTAAAGACCCAAAACATTTCAGCAATAACAACAACAACAACGACCATGATGATGACGACAGCTGTGTCTCACTTTCATATATGCACAAACCTTCCTGGTTGCCGCTTCTTCTTCTTCTTCTTCTTCTTCTTTTTTCTTAAAACTTCTTCTTTTTCCATGCTTCTTCTAGATTGTCCACTCAAAAGAAACTTTCAGCTTCTTCTCCTTTCTTCTAATCAGAAACATACCTTTACTAGAAAAAAAAACATTGTTCATGGAAAACGATTGGATCTTGAAAATCATTTGTAAGACACTAGATAATGCCTTTTTTTCTTTTTCTTTTTCTCTCTCCTTTCCCATTTCTATTTCTATTTCTATTTCTGTTGTTCTTGATTTTTTTGCATCTTGAGATGTCAAATTGGCAGAAAACCTTGTATCTGTAGCAAACTTTTTTGCATCACAAGTGAGCCTCTGATAAACACACAACTTGGTTTTTTCTTTAAATATTCAAAAAAAAAGAAAAAAAAGTCAATCCATTTTATAAAAGAACCTCACTTGTTGATTAACACAAGAAACAATCAAAAAAAAAAAAAGGTCAACTTGAAATGTCTACAAGATAGAAGAAAGTCTTTCCCAGGTTAACTATTCATTCTATATAGTGTATGATCATGTGATTTTTCGTATCTCTCAATATTCTATCAACAACAACAACAATAAAAAATCCTCATAAGCCAAAAGAGGCAGTTGTTATTGTTGTATTATCAAGGCACAAACAAACCTTTTTTGTCTTCATACACACATACACACACACAAGTCCCCTCAACAAGTATTTTCAAACTTCTTTTGAAGTCAATCGGAGATAATAAATGTATCATTCGGGGTCTTTTTTTTTCTATTTATAATGTAAGTTTTTTTTTTTTTTATAAATTTAAGGTAAGATTTGAAGAGGGGGCGGAAAAAGCATGTGAGTTTCTAGATTTGGAATAAAACCATGCGGCAAAAAAAAGAGCGATCCCTCGAGAAAATAAAATAACAAGCACAAGAGAGAGAACGTAGCAGGTCATATTCCTATTGGTGGTAGCAACAGTAGGGGTACTAAGCAGCAACGACAATTAGCAGCGATCAGGAGCAGCAGCAGCAACAACAGCAGCAGCAGCAGCAACAGCAGCAATAAGGCCTGGCGCACATAGGGAGAGTGGACCCCGTGGATATTAGCGACTCATAAATTCGTAGTCTAACTGAGCTTATTACCTCCTACATTGTGTTCGTTCACGCTAAAAGAAATACGAGTCGAAGGAATTCTAGAAAAAAAAAGGTTCGAGGGCGTGGTATCTCAAAGAAAAAAAAATAACAATATATTTTGACTTTATTATTGTCGTTTATATTTTGAAGTAATTATTGATTGATATACAAACAAACAAACAAACAAACAAACAAAAAATTCTTTGCCTTTTGATTGGTTTCACCTACCACCACCAGTGCCCAAATCCGTGGACATTATTGATAATGTGCACAGAGCAGAATGAGGTGAGTATGACTCAGTTTTATTAAAAAATAAATAAATAAATAAATAAAAAATAAATAAAATTTACGTTTAATATTCACGCCATTTATTCATTTTCTGTATTTACTAAAGACATTCTACGGCATCAAGGTTGTCAGTTTATGTATAATATATATGAATCTCAAATCTAATATTGATGATCAACTTGGAAATATGCTGTATACGTATAAAGGAAATTTTCAGTTGAAGAAGAAAAAAAAAATATTCTTTATTAAACCCTCTCTCTCCTTAATCTGGTTAAAGCCATGGATTAAAAAAAAAAAAACAGGAAACCTGTATACCATGTATCAATGTTATCATCTTCAAAAAGAAATAGTTTGTAAAATGGAATTACTTTTAGGGGCTTCAAACATACCGTTTTTTTATTAGTTTGTGCAAGATGATGAGCAATTGTTAACAACATAATAATCTTTTTTTTTATTATTTTTTTATGTTAAATTCTCTACAATATTAGTCATATTTACAATGAATGAAGAACTCTCAAATTTCCAAAAAAAAAACTATATATATCTCACCTAAAAGACCTGTCAAAAGGCCATGTTTTTATTCATAAGAAACTGGGAAAGTAAATCTTAACTAATATTCATGAGTTAACCCTATAGGTCATAAATCTTTTTCAACAAAAATATATCAAGACTCCTTTTTATGGTCAATAAACCATAAATATCCAGTTATCCTGATCCATATTTGGAAATTTAAAACCCTCAACACTGAGGGGGATCTCTTTTAAACTCATTAAATGATTGTATCAAAAGAAAAATTCTACAAAAATCAAATAAAAAAAGAAAAATGTCTTTTTCGTTTGAAACCAGATGTCCTGATTAGCCAATAACTATAAGTAGCCTTTCTATTTTACAGATATTAAAATGAATTAGTTTGCTTGAACGTGTTTTTTTATATATTTTTGTTTATATATATTTTTTCTATGTATTTTTAAATATATAATGAGCCAGGTTTGTTAAGTAAAACCAATGAAAAAAAACCAAGTTAACGAAAGAACCAAGAAAACAATGTATCAGAAAATAAAAGATTGGAAAAGCCTATGTACAGAAAAAAAAATTATCAAATAAAACGAAGAAGTTATGCATTTTGGGGATTCAAAAAAAAAAAAAAAAAGCACACCTTTTCATGTTTGCATGTTGGGAAATAACAGTAGTGAATTGTGTGAGTATCAAATTCTATTCTTTACACCAAAATAAAATAAAATAGAGAAAAAAAAAAAACAAAACTCAACTTCTTTCTCTCTGTGTTCTCTTTACTTATCATGGAACATAGAGATGATTTGATAGCCAACTGAAGGCTCGATTTCTGTACCATCGCGCGCAATCTTGACAGGCTGGTTACGGTTGTAAGGGTTGTGAAGATGACGCACCATGTAAAAGGGAACAGTTTTCCCAGGCGGAGACAACCACTCAATACGAAACGGAACTGTCCAGTTGTTACTACTACTACTGTCACTATCAGTTACAGCTGAATCTCCGCCGCTGGTTGAAGAAGAAGAAGAAGAAGAAGAGCCCTTTGAAGAAGATGACGATTTTTCTTTCTTCTTTTTCTTCTTCTCCATTGACTGTTGAGGATCCTCGATAACAGTTTTGGTAGATTCAGAAGAGGAACTTGAAGACCGAGAAGATCCCGTTGATCTCGAGGAGCCGATTCTCCGAGATGAGTCTTCTTCATCTCCAGATTTTGATGATTGTTTTTCTCTGCTTGTTGATACTGATTCTTCTGGTGTGACTGGATGGTGTTCTTCCTCTTCCAAAACCTCCCAAAATAAAGTCCCGCGCGATGAGTCGTCGACTATTCTGCCCGCAGGGATAGGAATCGATGGATTGGCCGCGGTGGGATAAACTCTAGGAATGTTGGGAGAAGTGTAGTAAGAAGGAAGTTTGAGCGCAGCCATTTGATCAACCAATGAGGAATTCCCACCTGCCATTCCAGGTGAGTCTTGAAACCCATCCTGTTGAGCCCAATTCCAATCCTTTAATGGCAACAAATCCTTGTCTGCAGTTTTGGGGATTTCGCTTGCCATTCTGGCATATCCAAAGTACTCACCGCCACGATTTGCAGAAAATATAAGATAAACATTATCACAATTCTATCATTTATTAGAAAGTTTTTTTTTTTTTTTTTTTTTTTTGAAAATTCACAAACTGCACATAAACTCATGCACAAAATAGTTTTTTTTTTTAAAAAATTTCTTGGTTTTTTCTTGTACTTCACATACCTTGAAAGCTTCATTAAAGATTGATTGATTGTGTGTTTGAGTGGCCCAAAGCCCATAAACTGCTGATGCTTGCAAATCCTCTACCGTCAAACTTTTGCAAATAAAGTATCTATTTTTGCTTGAGGAGATACCTGTTGCTAATGTTGGTTCTTGAATATTTTGAGATGACAATGCAGTTGAAGAAGAAGAAGTAGATAAAGCTGGAGAAGGAGAAGAGGATGAATTTACAGAAGAAGACGATGAAGAAACCGCAATAGGAGCTTTTCTAAGGTCGGATTGATTTTGGTCGGATTGATTGCCAAAATAATAGTCATTTTCTTCGTCTTCAAGATCGGAAACAGATGAGGTTTTGATTTTCACTACCAAGTGATTACCTTTCAACACCCTTCCACGGGTTTCGAAAATCTGCTTGCCCTCATGCAAGGCCTTTTCTGAAACATAGTTTACAAACGCGCAAAGAGTCCGCTGGATCAAAAAAATGGACTGGATATCATTGGTTCCAAAGAGCGCACAAAGTTCCAGCAATGTGGTGCTTGGTGGCAAGTTCCCGACCCATAAAGCAAACCCGGATTTTTTAGGTTTTTTGGGAGGCCCACGAGGTATTGAAAAAAAGGAAGGAGGGAATCCAACATAGTGAGACTGGTACGGATCAATAAGGTGAGGAGGTGGAGGAATTGGTGAATGGTGAGAGGCTTGAAGATGAGGATAGTATGGGTGAATACCTGGAGATTGATTTCCCGGTGTTCCGTAGCTGGAGTTAGACAAGTGGTGATCGGGGTTTCTATTTAGTCCACCATTGTGATGTTTATGTTGTCTATAATGGGGCAACCCACTATTTTGTGGTTGAGGAGATGGAACTGAAGGGACCAATTGAAGATAGCTGGCAAAAATTGAAGATTGGGGATATAAAAAGACCGGATCATAAGGGGAAGAATGGTTTGTATGAGTCTGAGGTTGGGATGGAGCGTGGATTGGCTGGTACATGGAAGCTGGTGCTGGAGGGTAATATGAAGAAACCATTGTCCGCGGAGCAAAGGGATAAAGAGACCCTGGAGGGCCCATTGGCTGATAATAATTTTGAGGATACATGCTTGGATGGTGCTGGTTTGAAGGTAAATAGGGATATTGGTTGGATGAATAAGAAGAAGAGGATGAAGAAGAGGGGATATTATGGCCAGATCTGTTAGAAGATTGGATTTGCTGTTGCAATTGAAATTGATGATGATGATGATGAGGTGTTTGCTGGACATAGTTTTGGTATTGAGAGCCATGAGAAGGCTCTTGAATTATATCCTGAGATGGAGGTGGAGGTGGGCCTTGATAGGAGAGTGGTGCATTGCTCGAGATATTTTGCATGGACGATTGTCTAGAAGTATTTAATCCCTGAGAAGCCTGTGACTTATGATGATGCTGGGTATTTTGCAAGTTCTGTGGAGTGTTTCCATGATGACGTTTCCCATGCTGCACGGAATTACGATCTTGTTGGTGTTGGTGTGGGTGTTGTTGGCCATTGTGAGCGTCTGTTTTGTTACTATTACTATTACGAGACCTGCCCAATGGTTTTGAAGCGCTAGAAGACGATTGCTCGTGTGAAGATGTCGAAGCATGGCCAGATCGGTGTCTTGATCTAGAGCTTGATTCAGTACTAGTGGTACTACTAGGGAGGTTGCTATTGTTTGTGGTGGCGATGGTTGTAGTGGTGCTATTACTACTGCTACTACTGCTGCTGCTATCGGTGGTGGTATTGCTGAATGCACCGAAAGTTGAAGAAGGACTCGCACTGGTAGAAACTGAAGAACTATGTCGGTGCCTTGACTGATTGCTATGGGACCTATTAGATGATTGAGGTTTTTCCGAGGATGATTGTTTTTTCATCCTATACTCTGAATCATAAAAAAGTTGTTGTTTTTAATGAATTGGCTGATCAGGTATCTTAAAAAAAAAAAATTGAGATAGAGAAAATCAGCAAGGTTTTTTCTTAAGACACAATTTACTTTTCTAAGAAAAAAAAAAAAAAAAAAAAGGAGAGACAAAATAAGGAAAGTAATGAATTCTAAAGATAGGTTTTAAATTATAGAATATGAAAAAGGGGAAAAGGGGAGCGGGGAAAGGAAGACAAATATATATATATATATATATATATATATATATATAAATTTGGCATATAAACGGGTATATATATATATATATATATATATGTGTTAATGTGTAGTGCGGTGTGTTAAGCGGTTATTGCCTTGTAGTCCGCCAACAGCCAACTTTGTGCGAAAAAAAAAAAAGATTTCGGAGTTGGAATTTTTTTTTTTTTTTTTTAACATCGTGTTTTTCAATCGAATATTAAAAACAAATTGGAAATGTAATTATTTTGAATTAATAATATCAATTATTCAATATTACTACTAGTACTACTACTAGTACTACAAAAAAAAAAAAAAAAAGGATTTAGAATATATGTGAAATATAGGTAAAGAAAAAAAAGATAAAGTGAAAGGGTTGGTTTAAGACATTTATGGTTTCTTTTCTTTTTTTTAAATTTTTTAAGCTAAGCTTATATTTTTTTTTTTAATTTTTTAATTTTTTAATTTTTATTTTTATTTTTATTTTTGTATTTGTATTTTATATATATTTTATATATATTTTATATATATTTTATTACTTATTTCATTTAAAATATATTTTTATTTTTATTTTCAGCTTGTTGCGAACAAAATAACAAGTTTTATATCACTTGGAAAGTTTTCAAGATGACTTTCTGCACTGTTATCCTGAATAAATAAATTTTGAAATATTTTTTTATATTATTATTCCAAATAGTAATTCTAAATATAGATGAAAAAAAAAAAATTTAAAAAAAACTTCAGGCCCTGGAGAGTTTTTCTTGTTGTTGTTGTTGTTGTTGTTGCTGGTGATTCCGATGCTCCTGCTAATTTCAGTGCTCCGAACTTGTCGCGTAAAATCCGATATTATTTTTATTCATTATTATTATTATTATTATTATTATTATTATTATTATTATTATTATTATTATTATTATTATTATTATTATTATTATTATTATTATTATTATTATTATTATTATTATTATTATTATTATTATTATTATTATTATTATTTATTATTATTATTATTATTATTATTATTATTATTATTATTATTATTATTATTATTATTATTATTATTATTATTATTATTATTATTATTATTATTTATTATTATTATTATTATTATTATTATTATTATTATTATTATTATTATTATTATTATTATTATTATTATTATTATTATTATTATTATTATTATTATTATTATTATTATTATTATTATTATTATTATTATTATTATTATTATTATTATTATTATTATTATTATTATTATTCTTTGTGGAGCAAAAGAGAACCAGATGCTCCAGTTTCCCCATTTTTTTCCATCAAACCACCGTGCCTGTGATCCAATTTATATACAACGTCATCATCATCATCAACACCATCATCATTATCAGTAGTATTAATACCATAACCCGGAAATTTTATAAGAATAAAAAAAAAAAAAAACTAAAAAGGGGGAAAAAAAAAAAAAACAAAAAAAACAAAAAAAAGAAAAGAAAAAAGAAGCAGCATTAAACAATTATATTCTCGTATTTTTTTTTTTTTTTTCAAATATTTTTAGTTAAAGTCATGTAAGAGACCCATTATAGTCTAAGCGAGGTTTTTTTTTTTTTTTTTTTTTCACTTGTTCAAATGACATATTAAGAAGATGTGGTCCCAGAATAAAAAATAATAAAATAAAGACCGAGAAACTTCATTAAAAAAAAAACCTCGACGAATAATAATAATAAAGTGAATCAAATAGATAGATGTGCATTGTTAAAAGGGGGGAGGGTTGTTTATATGAATTTCGCCAGCGTATTATTATTTAAATCAAAATCAAAATCAAAATCAAAATTAAAATTATCTGATGGCTGGATTGAAGACCTAAAACGACCCTTCTCGACAACAAACTTCATCCTTCACCTCCCCTCCTATCTAAAGTAAGAACTTTTGTTTCTTTCTCTTTCTTTTGCAGCAGAACATCACATTGACCCGGCCGACAACGGAGCCACATGCCAGGTGTCAAAATAAAAAAAAAATAAAAAATAAAAAAGATATCAAGAATTGTGACTTGTCATTTATTGGAGTGCTATATTTAGGCTTTTCATTTTTTGTACAATTATTTGGCTACTTTTTTATTCATGATTTTTTTTTTGAGTTTAGTGCCGTGAACCTTTTGGTTTAGAAATTTCTTATGTAATAATGATGAGTGACACCTTTTAAAAGAACTTGTCGATACTGCATTTACAGCAATATTTAGTTTAAATAACTATGGTTTAACTACATTTTAAAAATAAAAATAAAATTAAAAATAAAATTAAAAATCCTCCAATATAACTTCATCTTTTCAATTTTTTTTTTATGTCTCTCTAACTAGTGAACTATTCATCTTGAAAAAAAAAAAAAAAAATCTTTCTGACACATGAACTAACCTTAATTTTTTTTATTACTTTTTTTCTTTTTTTTTTCTCTACCCGTAATCCCTTTTTCAAAATGGAACTTTTTGGGTTTTTCGGAGGGTTCGGATACCATCCCGGCTTTGGTGTGCCGCCATACGCTGTTTATTTATAGAAAGAAAGAAAGAAAGAAAGAAAGAAAGAAAGAAAAAATCTGGGGGAATAACTTCAGTGACATTTAAATAAATAAAATAAAATAAAATAAAATAAAATAAAATAAAAAAATATAATTAAAATAATCTACTTAAAAAAACTGAGTTAAAAATAGTATCAACAAAATGTTTTTTAATTTTAATTTTTTTTTTCTCTCTCTCCCTCCAATCATAATCCCTCTTTTTCTTGAAATTATTTTTTTCTTAAAAAACTTATTTTGAAAAAAAAAAAAAAAAAATTTTTTTTATATCAGTCATTCATTTATCCTAATTAACTACTTTGGAAATTGTAATATTCTTGGACTTTAATCTGGTCCTCTCCATGTTCGCTCATCAATTACATGAAAAAAAAATTGAACTCCTTATCCGGAGATTTGTTTCTCCTGAGCAAGTACTATCCTATTTTAACAAAGAAAAATAGTTTTATTAAAATATAAAACAGCATATTACTTTAGTATTAGTTCATCCAAAAAAAAAAAAAAAATAAATAAATAAATAAAAAAGTTGAAATGCGTGCCTTCATACTGTACAGCTCCTACAGCCTTGTGTCTTGCGGTATTAATCGGGTGATTGATGCTTACTGTGACAAGAAGACAAGTTTTTTTTTTTTTTTCACAGTTTAAAGTCACTTCAGCACAGTTTGAAAAGGTATGGAATTCAGTCCGTGTGATGTACCAACTAACTCCAACAATTGTCAGACCAAACAGTGCTCTAACAGTGGTAAGTGTTTAACAGACATAACAGTTTACATTGAACTCAACGCCCACTTGTCCCTTAATCTTTAACGATCTAAAATGCACTCTACAAGCTAAATTCAACTGTTTAACTACAATTAACTTAACCCCGGATTTAAACGCTAACCATAATTTTGCATCAACTGTGATGGGTAATACTGTACGCTCAATTATCTCTTTTTCCTTTTCTTCTTCTTCTTCATTTTCTTCATTTTCTTCATTTCTTTTATTTTCTTCTTCCTCTTCTTCATACTTTATTATTTCTACTATCAAATTCTTATTTGTAACGGACTGCTTCCGCCTTGATCACTACTATTTGTTTCTATAATCTACATTTATCTTAATTCAATGGCTCTTCTTTTTTCTTTTTTTTTAAAAAAAAGAAAGAAAATGCAAAAAAAAAATCAAGTACTTCTGCATAACTAGTAGGTGTCATATTTCAATAAAAGTGCATTTTGGTTAAAAGTTTTAGCTTGTTTGACTGTCGTCATCATTATTATTATCATCATCAACATAACCATCATCTTCTTCATCATCATCATCATCGTGTTCCTATTATTAAGTAATTATTCTTATTAATAAACCATTCTTGAATTTGTCAATTTTTAATAACATCGGGGTTAGAACTAACACTATTTCATTAAATCTCTATGGCTTCAAAACATAACGTTGTTTTAACAAATATATATATATATATATATATATAAATTCTATTTTTAAAATAAAAAAAAAAAAAACTAAATCTTTATTTATGACTTTAAACAAATTTTGCTCTTCTTAGTTCTATTCTTCTTTTTTTTTTCTTCTTCTTCTTCTAATCTCTTGGAAATGCTTGCGGATTCGGATGCTTTGCATGCTGGGTCTGCATTGAACGCCGTACGCTTGTTAAACTTATTCTATTCCTTTCAAAATTGAAAAGCGGAAACTCTACCAGTCTATCAATCTCCCCATACTTGGGTTTTTTGTCTGATAAAACTCCCATTTTTTGGTATTATTATTCTTCTTCCCTTTATTCTTCTAATTTGCCAAAAAAAAAAAAAATTGGTATTTATTTTGATAACCATAATCTATCACCAACAATATCTCACTTATTAAAGAGAGAGAAAAAAAAAACCTATTTCATTAATCCTATCCATTTTTTTGTTAAAAATAAATTTTAACTATTTCAAATAAATGTTAAAGATCTTAACTAACATTTGAAAAATTAATAAAAATAATTGCCCATTAAATATATGCGAGTTTATTTTAAGACTGGATAACAATAGAATATTTAGATACTTTGGTCCAAACATCACAAAAAAAAAAAAAAAAAAGGATTGATAATTTGTGCTCTACTTTAAAATAATATTTCCAATTTTTTTTCTTCAATGGTGAACACATTTTATCTTTTAAAATAAATCTTCCGGTTATTACCGTCACATCAATTTAATCAATAACATGCATAAA